CCAAGTCATCAACTCCTACAGAGTTTTAATCTGTTTGTTAGTTTGAGTGACTAAATGTAACCGATTAGGCTACCAAACAAAGAACACAATCCTAAAAATTAATGAATTTCACTGTAAATAAATGATAAACTTTTTTGTGTTTTAAATATTACCTTTCTATACAGATCGTATTTCAACATGTTTTACTTGTGTATCTGCTTCCATTTGCGTTTCACTTTGCTGCTAATACACCTAAATTTCCCAACTGAAGGCCAATAGAGGATATTTCTGTTTTGTAAGGTTTGAAATTTGACATATTTCCTTTGGTATGGATTGGTTGACGTGAACCGATTAAATTGTTAATGGATTTTTGGGATAAAATTAAATGTTTGTCTTCTAAAATACCTTAAGCAGAAATTTGTTTTGATTAGGCACTTAATAAGTAAACAGATTTACTTTAAATACAACTTTTGTGCCGTTATTTAATATCCTATGTTATTGCTGTTATTGTTATTTTTATAATCTGTCTAAGGATTATATCTGTGAAGATTCTCAGTCATCCAGGTCATGGTCAAGCTTGCAAAAGTTCAGTCCAGGTAACTGGACCTGAAGTTTCCTAGAAGACATTTCGCCTCTCATCAAAGCCACTTTTGTTCCCCCCTAATTTCTTTGTTCCACCTACAGTATATTAATCTCAGTGCTCCCTATCAGTAGTTAGAACTGAAGAAGCCTCTTAGATGAGAGGCGAACCATCTTCTAGAAAACTTCCCATCCAGTTGCCTAGACTAAATTTTTTCAATCTTGTGTAAGGTTTGCAATATTTGAAGTTTTAAACTAAAGATAAAACACAAATGCTTACTGTTGACCGCAAAAAATAAAACCTGTAATATAGTGACTTCAAAATTTAAATTATTTTTGTTTTATTGTACTCTATATAATTATTTAGTTTAATGTGACCTAAAATAATGAAATGTAATCAAAGTTCAGAAATCTTTGAAAACTGAAAGCAAGTGGCACCGTCATTGTGAGAGTAGGCTACAGAAGTATGGCACACTGTGGTCCAGCCCTGGCTCACATGGGTTGTGGTCCAGATTGGATAAAACTCCACACTGAACCAGCCAACATTAGAACATCACAGAAACTTCCTGAGGGCCCATCGAAGAACTTAACGCAGCCTGGCAGAATTTGCACAAATCTTAACCTTTGGTTCTCCAAATGGCCGGCAAAATGGCGCTCGATTCGGAGTTTGTAATAAGACTTTTTAAACTGATTCAACCTGCAGTCAGTATGTTTCTGCTGATAATCCTGCTCTCCATCCTGCAGTATGTATTTGACATGCATTTCACTTGCTCTTGCAAGCCGGGTTTACATGTTGGCGGTTTCTTATATTTGCTTTTGCCTCCCTTCATTCTAACCTGTGTCGTCAACATTGTTGAGCCTTTTTATCGCAGGAGAGTTTTTTCCAGTCAGCGTTGTTTCCAATGTCATTTTCCCAGTAGCTGTGGTTTTCACAGCTTTTTTAAGTTTGTCTCAAGGTATTTCAGCCTCACTGCTCTCTGGATTTCACTGGTTTTATTTGATGGAGACTGGTACTTTTGCATACTGACAAACCTCAACTCAAATCAGACTGGAATACCTTGCAAAGAAAATCCTACGTATTCTGAGAAACGCATAATGGACCAATACAAAACTGAATCACTGGTAAGTGTCATTGAAGGGATTTTAGCTCCTATCAAGCTATAAAGTAAATGTTAATTCTGATCCAAAAATCATCTGTTATAAATATTGTATTTCTCCTTGATACAAAGCATCCAAAACTTTAACTATTTTATTGACATTTATTTTTGAAAAGTCTATCAAAGTGAGTACAGTAATATATACCAGTTTGGAGTCTTTGATTTTGCAGCATATACTTGTTAAAATGTTATATGGTTAAATGTGAAAATGTATTTATAGATGACCGGATGCAAACCAAAACTTTATAAAAGCTTTAATTCCCGTTCTCCTTTGCTGTTCCTTAAGAAAAAGGCAGATCTTAATTAACTTATTTGACTTGTTTGATTTGCAGGACATTGGCCTCGGTGTTTGCGGCTGTTTTCTGCTTCTGTGGTACATCTCTGAAATTCGGAGAGCTTGTAAACCAAAATACAGAAGAAGTGCCCCCTACTACAGTGTGGTGTACGAAAACCTCTTGGCAGAAGAAGTCAGCAACTATATGAATGATCAGCTACAGGAAATTGCAAAACAAAAAGCTGAAAAAATCTGTGAGGTCTACATCCAGAAGATCAAGGACCATGAGATCCTGAATGTAGATGAAGGCGTGGATGTCACTGAAAATATTTCTGAAGTATGGGAACAAGTTTCAAAATCTGACTTCTTCATGGGAAAAGAAAAAAAAATAGAAACTAGTAATGTACAGGAGAGGGCAGAGTTGAGTGAAGGACATTATCCTATTATATGAACATTAAAACACATCTAACAGTAGAAAGGGACTTTAATCTTCCAATATTTGGTTATTTTCGCAATATATAAAAGAATAATTTATTTATGAATTATAATTCCTTTAAATCAAAAATTTGCTTTTGTGATCTCATGCCTTTTCTGATCTCTTAAGTAAAAATATTCTATGTATAAATAAATGTTAAAGCAAATAAAATGTAGAGGATGTAAATAAAAAATGTACAGATTTTTTGATTTTGACATTTTCAGTAAATAGACCAAAAGCAAGCTTGTTTTACTTCATAATAAAATGTGAGCACTTTGAAATATTTACACCACAGTATCCAGCTTCACTGTTTACAACATTATCAAACTCATTATATTTAAAATAATAAAACTGAATAAAAATATATCATGTCATTAATTCTATATAGCATGTTTACATTTTGACAGAGTTTTATATAATATGCATTCATGCACATATACGAGAACAAAACACACACACACACACATATACACAGGATTCTCAAAGTTGTTTTCTCCACCTGCTTCTTCTGTTGGGTTGGAGTTAGTGTCTTTCTGCAACGTTCTATTGGCGAGAGGCGAGGTTTAAAGGCTGATCCCTCTCAGAGCAGCAATGTAACAATCATATACATTAAATTATTAGATTTTAAAGAACAATAAAAGTTATTTTATTGTCAGTAGCTCAAGGGGGGAGTGGTGGCCTGGTGGATAGAGCATTCTGTTTGGGTCCCTGAGGTTCGGATGAGCACTCTTAACCCCACACTGCTTCCCGAGCGCCGCACAATGTCAGCCCACTGCTCCATAAGGGGATGGGTTAAATGCAGAGGAGAATTTCTCCAGTGTGAGATCAATAAAGTTCATTTATATTATTTATTTCACTTGTTGAAGGTCTTAGCAAGATAGATTACTTACACACAGACTGATCTTCTAAGGCTGTTAGAGATAGGAAATTAAATGGCCTGTGATTGTATTCTATGTTGGTGACCTGTGATGACCCTAGTACTTCCTCACCATCTGTTTAGAAAAAATTAAGCTAACTTAAGAAGTTTTTACAGAAAAATATCTTTAAAGTAGCCTTTTTATTTGACCCTTTACGACTAAAACATCATTTCATGAGCAGACTGACACCTCACTAGTTCAGCGCCGATGCATCTTTAAGCCTGTAGCCTATTTTCCTGAATTTACTCTGTGTCAGAAATCTCCACTCTGTTCTGCAGATGTGACGTCAAGCTTGTCCTTATCAAATGGGTCCGACCTAGCAAAGAGTCCAAGAATTATATTCAAGATGGATTTTGTAATTACTTAGAAGCGACTAGCATTGGTTGAGCTGGTCGGCCGTCATCTGTTGGTCGGAGCTTGAAGCTTTCCTTCTGAAACGGGTTGTTGAATGATTACTTAATTCTCGTAATAATTCAACTTTCTTCTCATAATGTTACGTCTTTATTCTCGAAATAGAAGAAAAAAATCTCTAGCCTGGCCTACTACTCCGTCATATATGACAATTCTTACAAGAAGCACTTTCTCCCCTAAAATGAGGAATGATGATCATCGTGTGAAGTTATGCTTTGGCTCTGATTTAACAAATAAGGAAATCTTTGAGCACCAAATTGGGCAGGATGTCAGGTTGCTGATTGGTGGAGCTGGTCGGCTGTCATCTGCTGGTCAGAGCTCGAACCTTTCTTTCTGAAACGGGTTATTGTACGATGATTTAATTCTCGTAATATTACGACTTTATTCTCGTAATGTTATGACTTTGTTCTCAGAATTTTGCAACTTTATTCTCATAATATTATGACTTTTTTCTCGAAAACAAAAAATCTCTAGCCTGGACGTAATACTCCGTCGTACATATCAATGATTTTAAACATGACTGGAATAAATTCTATTAATACTTGATGTTTTCTCTTTTATAAACACTGAGAACTCCCCCTTCCCTATTAAATAGTCCGTTTTGGAACAATTTCTAAAATTGACATATTACATCACACGAATACAAAGACATTTTACGCTATAACATAATTAACCTATAACTTATTAAAGTTTTCAAAAGGACATTTTAATGTGACAAACTGAATTCATTGAAACCCAAAGTTCTATTTATTAAATATACCTGCTTGTTTAATGACTGCTTGGTTTCCATGTTAGACATTTTGAGCCTTGTTGTTTTTTCTTGCATGACAGCATAAATTTCCCGTTGTCCTGTTAAGCAAAGTACCAAACCCAAGACATGAGCCAATGAGCCGTTCTTTGGTCTTAATGAAAAGATTTAAGCTGCTGTCAATTATGTTTGCTACTTTAAATATTAGAAATTTAAAAAAAATAAATAAAAAAGGAAATATGAACTTTTGACTGTAATTTAATAAAACAGGTTACATATTCTGAATTCTTCTAGATATGTTGAAATGTTCATTTTTCAAAGTTAAATGAGCTGCTGTGACAACAGAAGAGTCCACACCTTAAATATAATATTTACTCATGGTGTTGTGTTATGCTTGCAGTAAGGGAGGTAGCGGAAAGCCGCTCTGTGCAGGCTGCATTAAAAACAAGCTGCACATGTGCAGAACATCAGGATGAGGACAAAGCAGCAACACTTAAAGTCTTAAAAGTTTTTTAAAGTTGATATATTTGGAGAAATGGCTACAGTTGGACAGATTATTTTTTACAGGTAAGTTTTGCAGATGTTCAGTTTTGAATGAATTGGGGAAAAAATCAGTGCTATGATATAATGATATAATGATTTGTCTTTTATTTTGTTTCTACATACATCTGAATGTATTTTCAGGTTACTATGTAAACAAATATTACATGGATTTATATTACATGCATATTTACTCATGTTTCTAATCCATAAACCCCTGCTAATGTTAGACTAATACAAACAGTTATGTAGCTCAGCACATATAAAGCTCATAAAAGTGTATAAATATAATTGTTCCTTCAATTTTCCTGTTTGTTTATCTCTACATTTAGCATGGTGACCCTGATTGTCATCTTAGCAGCCCTCATCATCCTCATCCTGTCCTTGACCTTCTCCAGTAAGACCTGCAGATCTACTAATATTAGTATTAATGTTTCATTCAGGTTTATTGGCAGATACGGGTGTGTTCAGCGCATGCTGTGCTTGTTTATTCTAAAGACATGCACCATGGGGTTCTATGCATGCAACCACATGATTCTTTATGTATCAATCTGTAGTAAAACTCATAAGTAAACTCTTCTTTTCTGTTAACAATTATTTGCAGAAGATACACATTTACCATGGTTATGTTCTCAATCTAGGAAGTATTTTCTGTACATTTTTTGTAATAATTCAAGGAAACTTAAAGTAAAGCTTCCTGCTTTAACCTCATAAATACTTCATAATACTTGTTTTCTGTATTATTAAATATTATTTGAAGATTTAAATGTTTTATTTTAATGATTAGTGAGCAGAAATTTTGAATATATTCTAAATTTAGAGCATTCCAACTCAACATTTCTAATCAAATTATACTGAGTGGAAATTTAACCCCTTAAGCCCTGAGGATCTTAGGAGCAAATTCCGCCTGAAATTACATATGTGAATGAAAGCAAGTACAGCTCCCAAACTATAAATTGGAAATATACTTGTTTGTATTTGTGTGACGGAAAGGCATTGAGGAATATTTTTCAGGTGGAACCACTATTTTAAATGTCACCATGTCTTATTTATAGGTGATCAAAGAAAGAAAAAAAATAAAAGTATTTAACCTCACTAAACAACATGAAAACCCATTTCAAACTGCGGATGAACCCTCAGACTTTATAGATCCACATCTTGACTACAAGTGAAGCAAATTTGGACTGAATAAGTTAAAACATGGTTGTTCCACAACGGTTTTATTGGGCAGTATGCTAGGTGGAAATGTGATTTTGCCAGTGTCAAATATGACAAATTATGCCAAATTTATTTTTCCATTTATAAAAGGGAATCTGGTCAGACAAATATGCTGATTTACATTATTGGAGACCTTCTGCATAAGGCAAAGTCTTTGCTCCTAAGATTTAGCTGTTGTTTCATTGAAATTTAATAATAATATCACCAAGCTGAATAAGATTAACAGAGAAAGCTTATGTAACCCATGCCAGTTGCATCACCTGAAATGGCCGCAAAATTACCTCCGACCCCTCCTTGAAAAGGTCTGAGCCTCTAGTTTCCAATGATACCGGCCTTGAGGGGCTGTGGCTAAATATGAATACCTGCTTTTGCATTACTCCTGCAGAGTCACACATGTCAGGTGGAATTTCAAATCTAATTTCATTTATTTAAGAAGCTATAAAACAAAAAGTATTTGTGAAAAAATAAATTGTAAACATTTGAAAGACGTGTGGATGAAATACCATGTGACTGTGTTTAGGCCATTTCTATAAATAGATAAACATCAGTTGAGCGCTGTATCGGGCCCACTGGGCTTAAAGGAATAGTACACCCAAAACATGATTAGCCTTCATTTTCTACTCACCCCCATGCTGAACAACACTCTGGAGTACTTTTTTGATATCTCAAATGCATCTGGAGATCTGGGAGGCTTCTTGCTGTCTGCTGACATTCAAATAATGGAGGTCTATGGTGCCCGAGACAGAAAGGTCCATAAAAGTCCACAAAAAACGTGTCAATATTCCTCCATACTGCTCGTCCAATGTATTCCAAGTGTCCTGAGTGGGTAGCATCCAGAATTTACTCAAAACGAAGTCATTTAGAATGTTTTTAGAGCATCAACAGTATTGTATAGGATTTCCTAAAAGTGCGTTCACCAGTCTACGGAAACTGAGGCAGACCAAACCAGATGAAAGTGCGCATTCAGCTCGGCAAAGAACTCATGCTCTTCCTCAACACTGAAGTCCTCAGACATTTTTCTTTCGTTGTTTCTTTCTTTGCACAGGTAAACAGCACATTTCTTCTTCTACGCTTGCATTATCGGCAGAGCAGACGCTGAATGCGCACTTTCGTCTGGTTTGGTCTGCCGCGGTTTCCGTAGACTCGTGAACGCGCTTTTAGGAAATCCTATAAACTACTGTTTATGCTCTAAAAACATTCTAAATGACTTTGTTTCGAGTAGATTATGGACGCTACCCACTCAGGACACTTGGAATACATTGGACGAGCAGTATGGAGGAATATTGACACGTTTTTTGTGGACTTTTATGGACCTTTCTGCCTCGGGCGCCATAGACCTCCATTATTTGAATGTCAGCAGACAGCAAGAAGCCTCCCAGATCTCCAGATGCATTTGAGATATCAAAAAAGTACTCCAGAGTGTTTTTCAGCATGGGGGTGAGTAGAAAATGAAGGCTAATCATGTTTTGGGTGTACTATTCCTTTAAGGGGTTAAGGGAGAATTCTTATTTTGTGAATGAAAACGGACGAGACTAGTCACTTTTCACCTGATCTTACAGCCTGATCTAGATCTAGATCTTACAGCCTGATCTAGATCTAGATCTTACAGCCTGATCTAGATGGGTTGCTTTACCAAAGTTCAAAGTTGGGTTTGCTTCACCAAAAGTTCCAATCAAACCCCTTAGTTATGTCCAATAGAGGATCTGTAACAAACTTGGAAATGTATGTTTACAGATGCTGACCAACTGATCTGAATGGGTTTATGTTATTTTACAAAGCAAACTGGGTACCAAAAAAAGCAACAAGTATTTGTGATTCCTGTTTTTGAATTCTTTTTTCTATCATATCATAAAAAAATATTTCAACATTATATAAAGATGATCTAATCAAGTACAACAATTATTTCAGCCAAACTGCAGAGTTTTTCTAGGAATCTAGAACTAGTTTAAGGTCATTCTACTGAAGCTCAACTGGATTTAAGTCCAGAACATCAGAATCAATGTTATTGGCCAAGACTGATCATTAAATATGGACTTTTACTTAAATAAAAGTCCTTATTTGCTCAAATCATATCTATAAAAGTTAGACTGAGTAGCTGAAATTCATTACTTTGCCAAATGTCTAAATGAATCTTGCTGAATTAGTGTCACACATTGTTGTTTTTTTGGCACATAGAACTCAAATCTTTGGTTAATTTTAATTATTGCTGTATTAACTAAGCAAATAACTAAATAGATAACAAATGTATGGTAATAAGTAAGTAACTATGTAGATTTTGATAACTGGCTGACTAGTTGTCAATGGGTGGGGCTATTGCTGCGCCACCACGGGTGACGTTGGATTTAATTGGACATTTTTCGATGCTGCTGGATAACAGGTTTGTTCCAGTCAATAAAAACATTCTGCAAACAGCTTCTTAGTGTTCTAACAAACTGCATGTGATTTTGCTTATCAAGGTATTGATGTCATACCCAAAGGTAGAGAGCAAGTACTGCTAATATCAATGTCACTATTGATACCTTTTATTGTGTACATTTTACATCATACAGACCTTTAACATTTTGGTGGTTTTAACTTTGTGCAGCATTTGGACCACTTTGTTAACATGATATTAATATGAAAAACAAAGACAACAGAACAAAAATTTTTACATTTATTTTCATTAACAAATTGCAAAACATATTTAAGGGGAATCGAAACAGAATCTGTTTTTTGATAGAAAGCTAAGAGAGTACAACTACTATACCAGACGAGTGCAGGTACTTCCTGGATTATTCTGACGTAAAAAAATAAAAATATTAAACCAAAGACATGTCTGGCATGACTGGATGCAATCAATTAGATTTCCAAACCAATCTTTCAGTATCACTCTGTAAAGTGCTGTGAGATTATGTGCTTTATAATAAATTAACAGAACTGAATTTAAATTGAATTGACACCTTGGTGTCTATATTACTGTCAGTTTGGATACATCTGCCCACAACTAGTTATTAAAAAACCAACAGGGTATAGCTATGTTGGCAAATGGATTATTAATAGTAACTAGATGTTGTAGCCTTTGGAGTGAAGAGAAAATAAAACATGACATTTTTAGTTAATGTAACTAAAAGCTTTAAATAGTAGAAAGTTAAATGTTTTGAGTTGGAGTAATGAAAATGGAGAAGAACTGGATTAAAAACAAATTCACATAAATTGTGATTTGAAGTTTACTAACTTTAAAATGTTGAGGTAACTGATTGTTTCAGTAAACGTTTATATTTATTGAAAACTTTAGAAGAAATAAAATAAGGAGAGACAGCAGTATATACATCTGTGTGCTTGTAGTCCCTTTTATTTATTTTTTTAGTGCACTATTTTTATGTTTCCCTGCAAAGTGAAGCACTACTCAAATTTTTAGGTGTTTCAGGTGTATTTTTGTCTCATGTTGAAAACATTTGGAAGTGAAAACAAACAATACTGTACTGTATGTATTCTGAACCCAAGTTGCTCTCCACAGAAACCACAGTCAAGGTGATGAGCAGTAACACCAAACCCGTCGCAAACCTGGGTGAGGACCAGATTCTCAGCTGCTACATTGATGCAGAAATTGAAGCAAACAGCCTGAGAGAGGTGTTGGTCATCTGGGAGATGACCCAGTTTATCGCTACGAGAATGGAGCTCCTGCTCTGGATAAACAACATCCCCAGTTCAAAGGCAGAGCTCAGGTCTTCCCTGATGCTGTAGCCACAGGTAATGCCTTTCTGCTGCTGCAGGGTGTGAGAAGTAGTGATGAAGGAGAGTACACCTGCAGCATTAGCTCCTCTGTGGGCCAAGGCAACGTCACCATCCAGCTCCGAACTGCAGGTACAAAGACTCGTCCTTCCAGTTTCCCTCTGTAAAGATTCTTGAGAAAATGTGGTGCTAAATAAATATCTTTATTTTTGTTGCAGTGTTTTCGGCCCCAACTCTGGAGTTCTCAGAAAACACCTTGACCTCCAAGGCGAGCAGCTGGTTCCCTAAACCTAACGTCACATGGCTGAACCAAACTGGGGATAAACTGAATGCAAGCACAAGTTTCACAGAAGTATCAGCTGAAAGATACCGTGTCCTGAGCAAGCTGCCGTCAGCACGGGTCAACGAGAGCTACAGCTGCAGGATTGAAAACAGTTTAGTGGTGGCGGTCACCGAAGCAACTATAACAGGTAGAGTTTTATCCATTTGTGACATCTGCTGATCAAAGCACTAAAGCAAAATATACATTATATTTGCCATTGAATAAATGCATGCATTACATGCATACTGCATACTGCACCAAGAAATACATTTTCTAAAATATTATTTATGTTTTGCTTTGGCATTTCAGTCTGTAAAAAATTGCGAACCTTAATCATCACTATATTATAAAATGTATTTATATATAGTTGTGCTTAAAAGTTTACATACCCTTAAATTAACCACAGGAAAAAAAATCAGCTGCCAATAAAATTAATTGAAATTGACAAAAGGATTAATAGAAAAAAATAGAAAAAAATTAAGATCATAATTTTGAACATATATACATATATATCTATATATTAATAAATAAAACAAGTAAACAAGCCTTATGAAGCTCCTGAAGGGATTTTCTTCTGTTGCAACCCCTAAGCTGTGGAATGACCTTCCCTTGGCCATCAGACAGGACTCTTCACTTTCTCATTTTAAATCTCTTCTTAAGACTCATAGCTTTTCCTGTTGACTTTGTCACACAGTGCGTACTTTACTGTTTTATTACTGCTTTTATTTATTAAAACTTTTATCTACCACTGTATTTATTGATTTATGCTTTACTATTTCTACTTATGATTGTTTATAGAACTTTGCTGCTGTTTGGTGTGTGACAGTGCTTTATAAATACATTTGGTATCATTTGGTATTTTGTTGAGCGACACTTTGCACCTCTTGACAGGTATGTGGGTTCACTGTTAATGGGAAAAGTGCTTTAGTTTGTCTGGGACGGATTGTTTTTAATAATGTTCCGCCAATGCCATTTTTTTGACCAATTCCCAATACCTAGCTGTGCATTTTCGGGCCGATACCGGTACCATACTGATACCATCTATTTGAAATTGATGTGTGTGTATATTAGTGTTGCACCGATACCAGTATCGGACTTGGCCCCAATACTGCCCTAAAATGGTGGTATCGGTATCGGCGAGTACCAACAAATAGGGCACCGATACCATTTTGAGAGCCATAAGTTTATTCAACTATTGTCACCCACTCCTGGTAGGCAATAAAAAGTTCTACTGGATTCACTTTGTATTAGATTTTTTCCTGCTTCACAAAGGTAGGCAGCAGCAATTATTTTACATTATTATGGTATCGGTATCGGCAGATACTGCACAGCCAGGTATCGGGTATCGTATCGGGGCCAAAAAATGGCATCGGCGCAACACTAGTGTATATGAAGAACTGCATACTACTTGGATGTAAAATAATTGCCATCATGGCTTTGTCAAGCTGCTGCCTACCTTTGTGAGGCAGGAAAAAGACTAATACAAAGAGAATCCAGTAGAACTTTTTATTGCCTAATGGCTGAATGGGTGACAATAGTTTTGTTGTCACTTGCCGATACCGATACCACCATTTTAGAGCTGGATCGGGGCCCTGCCCGGTACTGGTACCGGTATCGGTGCAAACCTAGTTTTTAAGAATTATTTTTTTAAACAAAAATGTAAAATGTAAAGTTTTACAAAATGTAATAATTTAGTGCATTTTTATTTGTTATTACTTTTTAAGTTTTGTGTTATTTGAATTACTATTATGAGTTTATTATTTTTCTTTATTTGCAATGTATGTAAACTTTCAAGTATAGAAACCTGTTCTAAAGGAAGAAGCTTTGGCTAATTTATACAGTAAATAGAAAAAAGGATCTATTTAAGGCTATTAGCATTTAATCGGTGGTTTGTTAGCTTAGGTTTTTAGTCATCCAGAACATGATGATCCTCAATGCTTACATAGACAGGGTAAGGTTATTTATATAGCACATCTCAGCGGCCAGATGATTCAAACATGAGGGAAAAAAAGGAAAAGTACATTTCAGTTTAATTAAGAAACACAAATAGATAAAGAGAACAAAGATTAATAATTGAAAATAGAGCTTAGCTGGATTTATTTACCTGTTTCTTGAATACATTACAGCTCTTAGGTGCTGAACAGGAGTTGGAAAGTTCAACCATATAAATTATAGTCGGAACAATCCCACTAATAGGGGTTTTAAAGTCACAAGGGACGGGTCCTAGCCTCTTTTTGTTCATGTTTGAATCATTGGGCCTCATGCAAGGAGAGTTTTAGTGGAAAAATTCATTCTTAAATCTGTAGCATGAATAATTTAGGATAACATTTTGCATTCCCTATTTTCTCCTATTTCAAAATCTTCTCTCAGGTACAAACACATTTTACGAGTGCTCCACACTTGATGTAGGAGTATTGTGCAATCACTCAGCTGTTATCCAAACCTAGTTTTCAACTAAATGACATTTGTTTTATTTAGAAACAATTGTCCATTTATTAGACTGCATCGTTATGTATTATGCAAGCCTGTAATCAAAAATTTTATTTTTATTCCCTGATGACACTACTGTCGGTCATTGCACCAGCAGCTGGCATGTCGGTATCTAGGGGACAATGGTGTAATCTGTTGTAATTTCATCAAAAGAAAGAACAGTCAGAGATCCAGCTGCTATTAAAATAACATCTGGAACAGAAACTATACAGCGTTATTGGGGTGGTGATTTTTAAGATTCACATTTCTTGGTTTGGAAGCTCACATTATGTACAGGTGCGCTGCATCAGGTTTACGAGGATCGTTTAAGATCATTTACTGAAGTTAAGAATGTTTGTTGAATCTGATGTGGAGCACGAAAAACCCATAGTAGGAGAAAAAGTAAGAGAAATTTATGATAAGTACATTTTGTTGCATGACGCCCTTTGCTACTTCAAAAACATACTGCCTAACGATACCGACATGAGTGCTGGTCCCAACTGGGTCATCGTCTGTTCGTTTTTCTGTTTGAAACCAAAAATGAAAAAAAATTTTAAAGTGTCAATAAAGTGTTTATATTTTAACCAAAACAGAAATCAGTTAAAATTGTTATCCAATTTCTAATTTTGATTAAAAAAAATTAAACAAAGGGTTTCAAATAAAGATAGGAACTGCCTGAATGTGGCTCCTATGTAAGGCAGCTTCACTTCTGTCAGTGCGCCCCAGTGCAGCTTTGGCTATAATGACTCAGTGAGGTGTAAATTACTTTGTAGTCCCCTTATTTGCCTCCTGATTTATATCATATTTTTGTAGATAAAAATCAGCTAAGTAAATCTTAACTCATTTTTAAAGGCTCTAATTAATCAATGAAATTTTTCATAAAGCAGATTCAAAGAGTAGTGAGGCTATTTCTTTATACGTTGACCCTTTGGGTACATTTTTCTGTAGTTACAATAAACCAAAGCATGACTTAGAAAATTCCTGTTTATTATCTAAACCTTTCATTTAAACATAGGGCCTGTGCAACATCAGGACTGCTGAATTAATTTAGTTTATAAATCCAGGAGGCATGTTGGAGAAATGCTGAAAAGTAAATTGAAAATGTGTTATATTATCTAAAACTAATTACTATGCATTCATTATCTAATCTTGTGGGGTTTTTCAGGTACTGGTGTTTTGGGAAGGACATTCTTCACCTTCAGCATTGCTTCAACCCTGCTGGTATCATTTAATCTCAATCTAATAACTAGTGTCCTGTGTATCTTTTTTGTGGTCTAGTGGCATGAAACCATATATTATGTCATTATAGTTTACTGTCTATGTCTTGGATAATTGAAAGGCAGAATAATCAGTGAAAATTTAATCTAAATGCGTCACTGATGTGTTGTTTTCTGTGTACTTTCACCAATTTATAATTAAATCTTTCAAACATTTATATCACAGGAAATAACTTAAATGTTGTTCTTAGCTGAGATTTTTTTTTCTTACCTGCAATTATCTACAGAACAATTATAGTTATGGTATGCACTGGGGTATCTGCAGCAAAAGAAGAGGAATGATAAAGAGTTTAATTAAAGGGTATACTGATTGCTTTGTATGTAATATAACAAAAAAAAAACTATTTCTCCATGTTACCAATGTTTTATGTTATAAAGTAGTTATGTATCTATGAATTTCTACAATGTTGAAATGGATTGAGACTACAGTGGCTGAGGGTATAAATGCCCTGCAAATACAAACATTATTACAAAGTTAATTTAATAACTCTCCTCCCTTAAAATAAGGTTTAACTTTAGCAGATGATTATCAGGTAATGCAATGATACATTTTAAAGATTTTGTTACCTTTTTTTTTTATCTCCTTTGGATTACAGAACAATACTGCAGAGGTCAACCATTTAATATATCCCCCTCCACAACTGGCACTAAATGTGGCAACAAAAAAAAGCATACCTCCATATAGAATGACCCTTTATAAACAAGAACAGCATATTTCTCGTTATTGATAGAGGAGAATAAGAATAATCGTAGATTTCTTTTCAATATAGTTGCCAAACTCACCCAGAGCCATAGCTCTGTTGAACCGTCCATCCCTCCTGGTCTTAGCAGTAATGATTGTATGGAATTCTTTATAAATAGGATTGATTGTATTAAAAATAAGATCATTGGGACCCCTCTAACTATGATTGGTTTATCTATGGAAGGTATAGCAACTTCTATGTTAGATCCAGTTCAAACCAAGTTGTTTAAGAAAGTATTACTTTTGATTTCCAATTATTATATACTGTAGATATTATTAATCTATCCCTAATAAAGGCTTTTAAAGGTAGCTGTAAAACATTTACTTTAGAAACCTCACGATCGAAATGATTTGATTATTAATATGTCATATCGAAAACTTTTAAGTTAAGAGCTGCCAATCAAGTGTGTGCCCACTTACACCATAATGGACTTTTTGAAGAGTTTCAATCTGGCCTTATACAGCTCATAATAGCACTGAAACCGCTTTGGTGCAAGTCACTAATGATATTCTCATGACCTCAAACAATGGACTTTTATCTGTACTTGTCCTGTTAGATCTCAGTGGTGCATTTAATACGGTTGGTCATCACATTCCTATGGAAAGGCTTGAACATTTTGTTAGAATTGGGAGAACTATGGTCTGAATTGTCTTTGTAAAGGGCCTTGAGCTTTGTGTTGTGAATTTGTGCTATATAAATAAACTGAATTTAATTGAATTGAACAGCACTAGGCTGCTTTGAATTTTATTCATCTGACAGACTACTTTGTTTAGGTTAATGATAAATCTTCCTTATTATCTAGGCTTACCTGTGGAGTACCACAGGGATCAGTGCTAGGACTAAATTTATTTTCTATATATATGCTCTCAATTGGTGAAATTATCTAACAGCAGGTATTTTATTAATTTGTTATGCTAATGACATTCAATTCAGTTTATTTATATAGCACCAATTCACAACGCATTTCATCTCAAGGCACTTTACAGTTCAAACAGATCATACAGTCAAATTGATTCAAAGTTTTCTATCTAAGGAAAACCAGTTGCTTGCATTGACTCAAATGCAATCCCTCACACTAAGCATGCTTGTAGCGACAGTGGAGAGGAAAAACTCCTTTTTAACAGGAAGAAACCTCCAGCAGAACCAGGCTCAGTGTGAGCGGCAATCTGCCAAGGCTGACTGGGGTTCAAGGAGACAGAAGCATAGATACAAAAAACAGCTGTAAAAGGCGGCCCCAGGAAACACACAGCCAGGCAGACAAGCTCCATGTCAGAGAATGAAGAAAGCACATCCAGTTAGTCACAGTCAGAGAAACAGGACTACACTGAAAAACAGGCTGATCTTCAACATCTATAAACAAGGGTGTTGATGGCAGCAGCACAGCTCGTATTTCTCTCCCGGATGGAGTCACAGCCAAACAAGAACAGACAAGGCAAAGCTACTCTGAGAAAAAGCAGAGAGAGCATAACGTTAGAGATTGAACTAACAGATTGTGCAGAGTGGGAGAATAGAGATAGAATGAAGCAGAATGATGAAATAGTGTTTCCTATGTCCTCCACAAGTCTAAGCTTTATTTGTCCATTAATTCTGATTAAAATTTTAATTTTTCCTCTCGATTGTTGCTTCATGTGTGCTTGGTGTTATGAAGAGATGAAGAGCTCATGTCAGTGCAAGGGAATATCTATTGTTCACACATGCTCATACAGGAGGAGAGAATTAAATGATTCAGTGCAATCATATAGTCTTTCTTTGATATACAACTTTTAACCAATTTGACTACATATGATCTGATTGAACAGTCTATTTTGTGGCTAGAGATGCCTTCAGAGGACATGTGTTGTAAAATTGTGTTATATAAACAAACTGAATAAAGCTTTATCAAAATATTAAAATTCATATTTTAATCCTTAAGTTTTTCATCATTAAAAATGTCTTGATGAGAAAAAGGGTAGTCAAATTGTGTCGGTATGCTTCTTAAAATCAAAGGTTTTTATGTTAATATCTTGAGTGAGTTCTTCCGAACCCTTTTGACATCTTTTTGTTTTTGGGGGAGGGGCACAGACATTAACAAAAAGGAAGGTAATGTTTTTGTGATGCTTTTTATTTGGACCTTTCCAACCCCATCTGACCCAAAATTAAATTAAAAAGCCGTTGACTTTTCTGTGACATTTAAAGATTATTCTTTACACTTCATTTAATGATTGAAAGAGGTCATACAGAATTTTACTAAGATTCACAAAAGTTATCAGCACCATTTACTCTGATACCTCTGGATAGCACCTAGTGCAAGCCACTATGAAATTGATTAGTAGTGTAACACTTTAAAGGAGAAGTCCAGTCAGCAAAGAATAACTAATGGGGCAATATTTATACCTAAAACTAATATGTACGTGGTGATCTAATGATTTTAGCTTTAATCAGTAAAAAAATAAGCAATATGAGTCCGGGAGCGGCCATTTTTTTCCAAATATAGTAACACCCAACTCCTGACATCTTCCAGCAGTGACGTCACGGTGCGGTAAGCCTAGCGCAGGGGTGTCAAACTGGTTCCAGAAAGGGCCGTGTGACTGCAGGTTTTCTTTCCAACCAAACAATAGCACACCAGACTCCAGTCATCTCATCAAGTGAGTCCAATCTGAACACGATGACCTAATGAGAGGACTGGAGTCTGGTGTGCTATTGCTTGGTTGGAAAGAAAACCTGCAGCCACACGGCCCTTTCTGGAACCAGTTTGACACCCCTGGGGCCCTAGCGCCATTCTCCCTACTTTACAAGCAAAATCAATGGGAACTACTAGACACATCTGCAATTAACAACAATTATTTAAGATTTCCATTGGACTTCACCATTGCCATTCGTGAGAGCTATAGTTAAACTGACAATGCCCAGGTGCAAGGCAGTTGGATGTTGCAGTAAAAGTGGGAAAAAAATGACTTATTTCACCTTTCCAATTCATGATCCTCCATGGACTGGTTCATCGTTGGATTACCAACTTGAAGAAAGAGGATTTACCATCAAACTTCTGGCCAGAGAAAAAACACGTCATTCATCTGTACTCTCTGCTTCACATAGTGCACTGGTCATCGCCATCATGGATAATAGCGTGTTGTGACAAACACCACATACAGCACTGGGACTTGCTCAACAGCCAATACCGCACCGTGACGTCACAAACCAGTAGGTGGCAGTAGTGTTCTTTGACAAACATGGACGCCTCCGTGAAATTACTCTTAATTAAAAATACTTATTAATTGAAAGTATCCAATAATTTCATACTTAAAGTACTTTCAGAAGTTTGTATTCTGAATATGAAGGAGCTCTTCAACAGGGGGTCCGTGATCCCTAGGGGGTCCATGGAAGTACTGCATGGGGGTCGGTTGATTAGACTTTTTTTATATTCCCTCCTACAATTTTTTCCACTACAGTAATTGAAATGTCTTAAAATACACATTAACATGAATTCAACACACTGTAGTAAACAAAAAAATGGAGGCAGATGATGTCTTTCGGTCATCAATGCACACATTCAGCGACACACAGGAGCTCTTTCAAGCTGGGCACCGTTTCATTCACAACACCTGTCCCATTAACCAGGAATCAGAAATACTTTAATAATCCCAGGGAGAAATTACTTTCATTACATTCCTCCATCTGTAATAGAGTGACTATGTTTGATATAACACAATTTCATACAATATATATAATCAGGGGGTCCCCGCTCCATCTCGCCATCAGTTTGGGGGTCCTTGTCCTGGAAACGTTGAAGACGCCTGCTTTAAGGTGTGTTTGCACTTATAGTTCTCCTTTTTTAGAACAGGTTTGATAACTACTTCCATTAATTCAGCAGGAAAATGTAATAACGGATGGTTTTCTGCACTGCTGCAAGTATTTCATCTATGTGGTTTGTGTTTAGGGAATAATGTCCAACTTTGGCTTTAAAGATTCCTGGAAAGTTTCTGGACCACCCCGAATAGTCAGGGGGAGTCTGCCATTGGTCTGTCAGCAGTGAGGTGTCAAATGTCCCAGGCAGCTTTGAATGCAGCCCACTTCACCGAGGAAACATGGGATTTAATTAGGTAGAAAAGTTAGTTACGGTAAATTTGAAATCCTCTGGTAAGAAAACAGGGATTTGGCGATACAACTTGAACATATAGGGATGAGTTTTCTCTAAACTTTGACAACTAGGTAAGTTTTACTCTGATTTTGGAACAACTTTTCTAAAAGCAACAATGTTCCATTCAGTGGGAGGAGAGCCCACTGTGGGCTCCGACCCGGAAACCAGATTAGCTCCGGTAAACCCCAGAGCAGTCTGTAATCTGTGCAAACGGCTGTACCGTGATCCTAAAATCCTGCCCTGCCTGCACACCTTCTGCTCCGACTGTATCGAGCAGCTGGAGCCGTTCTCGGCGCCTCGGGGCTTCAGAAATGGCCCGGAGGACGGCGGCGCTAGGACCGGGGGGGAGCGAGTGTCGGTCACCGTTCTCTGCCCTCAGTGTGACACCGAGGTGGATATCCCTGAGGCAGGACCGGCCGGGCTCAGCACGGACCACCTGGCCCTGGATGAAGTCTTCCTGGAGACCCTGGTGAGCGACGGCCCGCTGGGCTGCGACCTGTGCGGGGAAGGCAGCGCGGAGAGCCGCTGTGAGGTCTGCTGCGTGAAGCTGTGCGGGTTCTGCTGCCAGGCGCACAGGTAAACCACAGCTTCTGATATAGGCCAACAAAGTTCTGATTTAGTTCCTAATACTTTAAACTCACACTAACATCACCCATTGTTTTTTGCACTTTATTTTTATTTATTTATATATATATATATATATCTTTTCTATTTATTTATATTTTACTGATTTTTTTCCAGGGAAGAGGAGAACAACATACATAAAGAAAAAACTAGTCATATATATATATATATATATATATATATATATATATATATATATATATATATATATATATATATATATATTATAAAGGCCTAGTAGCTGGAGATAAGAGCTTTCAAGTATTGCTCTAAGAAGAGTTCCATGTTTGGTTAAAATAGGTGGTTATTTGTTCCATCTGATATATTTCCATCACAATGTGTGTCCACGACCAAGTATTGGGCTTTCCTCATGATAGGTTTTTTCCTGGTCACCAAAAGGATGTTCATTAAGTATTTGTCCACTTTCAGCCATTCTTGAGGAACACATGCCAGATACTGTCTTAGTGTCCAGTGGCAAGTCTTGTAATGAGTTGTGTATTTCTGACCAAAAACCTTGAAAGTTTGGGCAATCCCAAAAGACATGGCGATTATTTGCACTTTGTTGACCACATTGTCTCCAGCAGACAGGGGTGGTGTCACTTGGTGACAGACATGTTCACAAGTCATTTTTTGCAAGTCCAAGTCAAGTCTCAAGTCTTGAGAAGGCCTGTCGCAATAATCAATTAATCGCACAAAAAATTCTAATCACTTGATTAATTAAAAAAAGTGCAATAATTTTCGTGCTTGCTTGTTTCTCCTTGTGTTTTCATCTCCGTCACTGAGACGGTATAGCTTAAAGGTCACTATTATATCTATAATGATCATTATCTTGAACTGCTAAATGAAAAATACAATTAAAAAAAGCACACATGCAAAATTATTTTCCAGATAAATTTTGCATTTTTAGTTTTTTTTCTTTCAAAAAAAACTATTTTCTTACATTATTTACCTGACATTTGTGGTTACAACTTTTTCTAGTTTTAGCAGTAAATGTCTGCTCTTTTATTTTTAAGTGAAATTGAGGACTGTGGAAAAAAACACAGTCACAATCCTGCCTTTTATTAATACATATGAGGTTAGAAACTATAAGAGATAAAGAAAAACCCTAAACAAATAGCAGGACAATACTTTTATAAAAGAAAGATTGTGGCAATAACTTTTTGTAACTTAATGACTTGGCGGGCAGTATTTTCAATTCAGTTTATTTATTTAGCGCCAATTTACAACATTATTCACAACATATTTCTCCTCTACCACTGCCATGAAGCTTTTAAAGCTGGGCTTGTCGATCAAAGACAAGGGGAGGTTGCATGAAATAATAAGGTCCTGAATTATTGCCTTATGTCTGTGATGTCCCTGGCTGTACACCTGCACTGCACTGTGGCTGATAAAGTTAGATGTGGTGGACCAAGCATCGTGTATTTTTTTCTAAAGAAGCTGCAGTTTTCTGCTCTTTTATTCCCGCCTTATGTAAAGTTTTTGTCTCCAAAGGTTATTATGAACGGTGGCACCGAAACAGGGGGGGTAATCATCGCTTCCATATCTGTATGGGTTGCATGCATGCATGCGCACGGGCATATATGTCACGTACTGTCAGTGACGTCAGTGTGTTGCACAGGGAAAAATATGATTTATGGTTTTCTTTCATTTAAATGTTTTATGCTTTGCATGTTTTGATGTTTCTTTTTTATATGATTGCTTTCCTTTTAGACTTTTGAATTTTTCCTGCATGTTGGGTTGTTTTGGTTTGTTTTTCCCTTGTGACAATCCATGCGCACTGGACTGAATTAGTTGTCTGAGGAGTAGGGCTGAACAATTAATCGCATTTTCAATATAATCGCAATTTTAAAAAATGCAATTTCCAAATCGCGGACGTCTGCAATTTTTGGCTATGTAACAATTAGTGAATCAGACGCGTTCTTTAGGTGTCAGTAAAATTTTTAAACTAAATTTGCCTCCACATGGAAGGGAAGACAGTTGCAGCAGTGAGATAATCTAATTTTATTACTTGTTTTAGAGTTTATATATTCATACATAGCACTAAGTACCAGTTAATCAGTTTAATACATAGACTGGTTTGTTGGTTGCACTTTGGACTTCATGTTCAACAAGGACTGATGTCTAAATCAGTTAAAAGCTGTTCTCTTGAATAATATTCTGATTAATAAAAACATTAAAAGTTCTTGATTTAAATAGTCCTTGTTTACAATTGTCTTTATTTAGAGGCAATTTTTGTTTCTTGTGGTTATGTAGAGAAAAGTCAAAATGAAATTGCAATTTTGGTTGAAATATATCGTAGGCAGAATGCGATCATTAATTAGGACACAGCGTGTCTTTTAGCACCTAATTGGTTGTTTGTATATGTTTAAAAAAAGACATGATCAATTAAACTGGGGGAAAAAATTGCATTAAATCGCAATATAAAGAAAAAAAATTGCAATTAGATTATTTTCCAAAATCGTTCAGCCCTACTGAGGAGGCGGAGTGCATTAATTGCGCTGCGTAATTGCTGCGCTCAGGTGTGAGCAAGGGCTGATTAAAGCCGACATAAAAGGAGTCTGAAGGAAAGGAGAAGGAGAACGGAATCTGCAGGTGACAGAGACGGATGCGCTGACGGGGGAGAGGCAGGCGGGTGCACAGATGGCCCAGTAAGGAGTATTAGGGCAGAGGAGGAACCTCGCCTGTAAGTAGCGCTCCCCCTCGCTTAAAGCATAAACAGGAATATATCTTCCGACGGGGTTTTGGCGCGTGGATGCTGGTGTTCTCCTTGCTTCTCTTTTAGCTGGATCGGTCTGGGAATGGGGGTGGCACACCAGGGAGTGGAACAGTGCCGGAGCGCCGCTGAGTTGGCTGTGGATCAGTCAGTGGGTGCTCCAGGCCGACCACTCGCACCAGAAGCAGCATAACAAGCGGAGCCCAACTTCCAGCCTCTGATTTTTAAGGAAAACTCTTGAATTTTAGGTTTTATCAGGAGAAGAAAAGGACTGTTTTATTATGCCACTTTTGGTGTGGCTTTTTGTATAAATAAAACACTTGAACTTGAGTGCTTCACGGTTTGGGTCTTTGAGTTGTTTGCTCCCCCTTGTGTCAACGACTGAGTGTGGGGCCATACTGGCCACAAGTGCTACTTTTTTTTTTTTTTTTTCCTCTTCTGTGTGCGGGTAAGGCGAGCGGCGATCAGTCAAGTTAGTAAAACAAAAAACACTTGAATAAGTGTTTTTACACTGGAATAAAATATTGTTCACAAGTCGGAAATTTACGAGTCTCAGTCGAGTCTGAAGTCCTTCAAATGCAAGTCTAAGTCGAGTCTGAAGTGATTAAATATGCAACTTAAGTGAGACTCGAGTACGAGTCACAAACTCGAGTCCCCATCTCTGCTTGGTGACACATGGGCACGTGATGCCCATGAAATGTCATTAGCCAGTGTCCTGAGGAGAGCAGCAATGGAGGCGCCCGGCCTGCATAAAAAGCACAAGAATATTTCTCTAAACTTTATAGTCACGGTATTAACCTAGCTGCTCTTTACAGCCCACACCAAAAGGTCAAATTGATGAGATCATGCTGATGTTGGAGCTAGTATTTATTCTCGTCTCAGCCTTGCAGAATCCTGCATCTCTTGTGGAACGTGAAGTCTGGAGGAGAACCGACGGTTTCCTCATGTGAACCCCCTGTTATACCAAAACGCTGCCAATACACCATTATACACTAGCTGTAAGTCAGAAACACGTTCGGCGGTCGTCTGGAATACGTTGATATGCGTTGAAGATACGTTCTTGATAAGTTATGTGTAAGTTATGCACAACACGACTTATGAGTAACTTAAACTTAACGTATGTCAACGATCAGATAACTTACCTGTAACCAATGGCCCACGTATGAGCAGACGCTGACATACGTCTCTGATGCTCAAAATTTCTTGTTGTATTTCAGTGTGGAAGTGTGCTTCAGTGTGCTCTTAACTTATAAAAAACATATCCATAACTTATCCAATGTATGCTAGTGTTTTTGCCAGCGTATGCTGTTCGTCGGCATACGCTGGCTAAATCGTTAAGGTGTGACAGCAGCATAACAACCATGCAGACCAATAGAAATGCATCTTTGTTTCTAACTCCAGAGGAGAGCCAGAAGGAAAGAGAATATAATCAAACACAAAACACAATTTAAGAATGATTGCGATAATAACGATCAATGTGAAAAAACAAAAGCTGAGAAAAATATAATTGAAAATCTGTAAAAATGTAAGTAAAAAACATTGTTTAAACTATTGTATTATTTTTTTTCTCATATTGCTATAAATAAAACTTTGCTTGCAACAATAATGAAACAGAATTCCCTCCATGGTTTAACCTGATCAGGAATCTGTCTGTTCTCCCTGAAGGCGGCAGAAGCGGACAGCGTCTCATTCTCTTCAGGCCGTGGAGGAGCTAAAGGCTCGAGGTCGTCTCTGCCGCCCCGTCCTCTGCTCCCTTCACCCCGGACAAGAGCTGAGGCTCTTCTGCCAAACCTGCGAACTGTCCGTATGTCTGGAGTGCGCGGCCACGCTGCATCGGGACCATCGCTGCTGTCCAACAGGTGACATCATTGACCACCATGGTGACCGGATCCGGGAGCTGGTCAGCGTGCAGCTTCGACCTCGCCTGCAGAGACTGGAGGAGTCGCTGCAAAAGGTTCAAAAAGATCCATCTTTAGATTCCTGTTAGATTTCAATCTTGAAACATAATTCAGTTTGAAGTAGGGATGTAAACAGGTAAGGTGTGGCACAATGCCTGACCGCTTATCAGAGCAACATACCCTGTCTTTAAATTACAGTTTTACTTCTCTGTACCTTTCAAATAAAAATGTATTCATCTTTTTTAATTCAGTTTTCTAATGGTTCCTTTTTTGTTACATCTTCTAAATGTGTCTTGTTTATTTATGTGTAAGAAACCATGTTATTTTTAATTCAGTCAGTATTGTGAAAATATAACAATGAACTACTACTACTACTAAAAATTAAAACATTTAGGCCCTTTTCTTAATGTAAAGGTTTTTTAAAACTGGCCACTAATTGTCAGTAAATTAAAAAAACAAATAAACTTTCATTATTTCATTAATCCTTAGCTTTATTTAGTTAACATGGAAAATGTGTCGAGGAACAAATACGATAGACCTGATTAAAAATATTGTTATTGCTGTAAATTAAACTTTCGCCTTTCTGATTCTCCTGCAGGTCGATATTTCCCAAGAAAATCTGCAGGTTCGAATAGATGCAACGGCCAATGAAATTCGAGCTTTTGCACGAGGCTACGCCAGTGCCGTGGAGGCTCACTGCTTGTCCCTGCTGCGCCGCCTAGAGGAGCTCAGGGTGCAGCGCAGGTAGGACCCTACTAATGCTGTAAAGTGCTTCAGATGATGTGTTGTGAATTGGCGCTATGTAGATAAACTAAACGGAATAATTAAAGGTTACTTATTGTAAAAGTCCAGCATTAACCGACAGTGAAACGCTGACATCATAATTGATTTATCTTTTTTTTCTTTTCCTGTTTTAATTAACAGTTTAATCCATTATTCTAAAGTTGGACTGATGTGTTTTTCCTCCTGAATAAATTAGTAAAGTCTCACTGCTGCCTGCTGTTTGGTTTCCCAATGCCTCTTTCCTGCAGAAACCACCTCCACCTGCAGAGGGCGCAGCTGCAGCAGGCCCTGCTGGATGTCAGAGGGAGTGTGGAGTTTGCAGAGCGGCTCCTGAGCTGTGGATCTGACGCTGAGATCCTCAGTACCAAAGGCGTGACTCTAAAAAGATTGACCACTCTGGCTGAGAGTGGATTCGACCCCCACCTGGCAGCGGTGGCCCCTGACGATGGCAGCAGTATTTGCTTCCTGCCCAGGGAGCCGGCGGGAGAGGTGGAAGGCTACCCAGTGGTGGGTGTGATCAACTCGAGGACGGTGGACGTCAGCAGGTGCACCATCGAAGGGGAAGGTAATCAACCGAAAAGGACGTTGTCTGCCTTTCATTGTTAGTGGTTGCTTCAAATTCCTTTGAAGGATAAAAGTTGGAAGGAAGCTGTGTACATGTAGGGCTGAGTAATAAAACATTAACAATAAATATCCCGATAGATGCTCAATCAATATCAATAGAAAGTAAACTTAATTGAACTGAGATCCAGAACCACATGGCATTCTGGTTTATTCAGAGCCAAAAAAGGGAAAAGGAGGCAAAAAAGGTCGAATTCCTGTAAGAAATCTTCTAAATTCATAAAGACATTACAGAAAATGGTTTTTAAATCTGTTTATTGTCTCATTACTGTATCTCCTCTAGAAAGCTAAGAAAACGTTAAGGTATAGACTGAGTAAAAGAAAATACCACAAAAGAAATAAAGAAATAGATACAGAAGACAAATTAAAGAAAATAATTCTTACCATACGGGACTGATTTCAGCCATGACTTTCAGGAAAGCTTACCGCAACAAAGTGACGCCAACCGTAAGGTTGCTCCACCTACATGAGTGCAAGCAAAGCCTGGAGAAATTCAGCATTATTTTAACAGCTGTACAGTGAATTACAACTTCATTTATGAAGCATTTTCCCTGATCAACCCTGATGCATAGACAGCTGACAGTTTTATTTACCGCATCTGGGGCCTGTTTCAGAAAGGAGGTTAAGTGAAAACTCTGAGTTTGTTAACCCTGAAATGAGGGAAACTCTGGGTTTTCTGTTTCAGAAAGGGAGGTAAGTTAAACCTGAGAAAGCAGAGTAAGTCAAGCCCGTTTCTGAAAGAGAGGTAACTTATACTCAGAGTCAGTTACCATGGCAATTTACTCTGTGAACCTAACCTGGTCGGGAGCAGGTTTTCTTCAGAAAATCCAGAGTTTATTTTGGTCTCCTCCCCTTTTTTAAAGAGGAAGTGGTGTTTAAACACCTAATTGATTCTTTGGGGACATACAGTATTCATTGCACACATTTCAGTCACGTAGAGCGCATCAAAGGGAATGAAATGGCATGTCCTTTTATGGATGATCCTGTTTGTAAAGCCAGGTAGCTACTCTACTCCCATGATGTGCTCAAGGCTTACCTGCTTGAAGTATGTTTTTATATTTCATTTTCAGCTGCTGCCATGTTCTTTTGATGCCTGCAGGATTGCACCTATCCATGAAAACTAAATTAGGTTTAATAAAATACTGTTCTTCCAGTTTCACCTCTGATATTATAACAGTTGGGTAAGTTACTCTAAAATAGTTCTTAATTACTAACTACAAATTTTATCTTCAACAAATCTAATTAGCTTAATGTAATAATTACTGTCTCTAGAAAGTATTGGTCTACTTACTAATTTGTTTTACTTACTTATTAATTACTTTCTAAATCCCAAATCAACCTCAACCACTTGAAAAATACAAGGAGAGACAAGAAACTGCACTTCTAATGCTTTCAAATAAACAATATTCAATTGCTTGAATTAATCTTAAATTGACCAAAGTGTGTAACTAGACGGAGAAAGTTCAAATCAAAATATACCTTTTAAAATATGATATTAAATCCACTATTGTTTTATAGTCTTTAAATTAATTACAGTATTTATATGACTTAAGTAACTTAATTCATTACACCCAACACTGTATAAAAGTAATTAAAATGTAAACTTACGCATTGACTCGAGCAGCTATTTTCACCCGAGCTAACTCTCTCTCCTTCGCCGCTACAGCCGTGTTGCTTTTTTTTATTTTTTAAATAAATGTTCAAATTCTGCATATGCTTGCATAAGCACATCCAGTTCTGCTGGTGAGAAATATGCACACCTTTTTTTGTCTGAAGCTGTTGCCATGGTGACTCGTAATATCTGTGCTCCATTGATAATGGCTTTTTATAGTTGTGGTGCACGCGCTTAACTCAGAGTCAGTCAATTTAGAGTTGATTGAACTAACTCATTTCAGCTGTTCTGAAACCCAAAACTCAGAGTTTCCAATCTCAGGATAAGTCAACTTAGAGTTCAAGTTTTAACTCAGAGTTGGTTGAACTTCCTTATTGAAACAGGCCCCTTGTCAGTAAAATTATTGCAAGTCAGCAACAAACAAATCAGCCTTCAAGCCTGCTGTAGGAAGATAACAAACAGTTCTTTAGTTTTCATCATAGCGTTGTTTGCTTATGTTTTAGTTAGGGCTGGACGATATAGAAAAAAAGCTTATCGATAAAAAAAAAATGCATATTGATCGATATCGATAATTATTGAAAAGATTTGAAACCATATTTTATGTGCAGCTCCGCCTGGACATTTTATGATATTGCTAAATGATTTTATTTTAATAAAGAACACAAACACAGACTTCCAATTAAGTCTTTATTTAACCAACTTTTTTAACCATAACAGAATTGTTTTAAAGAAAAATAACTTAAGAGACCTGAGTTATGTTATTAAATACTGACAAAGAATAAACGTTTTCACTGGTTCCCTACACATTTTACAGATGACTGTGGTTTGTTTTTTGTCCGACTTGCCATGACCGAAATACTGCCAAACGGGCGAACTACGAAAACCCTTCTTTGGAACAATTTCCTCCGCCTCTCCTTGCTGCGAAATCTTCATGTGCTCTGTGTTGTGGTTTGAGAGGGCGGCGCTTTGTGACAGCGTGCCTGGGTCCGCGATTGTGATTGGTTGGAAGGAAGTAGTGACTAGCATAAACCTACATGCTAGGCTACAATGAGAAGGAAGGAAAACTGCGTTTCTTTATCGAACTTTTATCAACCCTCTTTTTTTCTATTGCGCCACACGTCTATCGATCAATATATATCGTTATTGAATTATCGCCCAGCCCTAGTTTTAGTTAGGAAAAAGCTTGAATTGCTTTATTATTTACGAAGGTGTTTGGTTATAGTCTGTGTCCAAGACAGCATCTTAGCATAGGCTTTAAATTTTCACCATTCTTTCAATAAAACAGCAAAAATATTGCCAGTTTCATGTCATTTGACTATAAATTTGCACAGTGGGTGATTTTGTATAACTGGCGAAATGCTCCACAATGCCGGCTAATCCACTGGTTGCTGGTTTCACCTCAACATGGTGGACCTTCATCTAAAAAAGCAAGTCATGGTGCTTCACTTCTGAAAGCAGCCGGCATCCCCTGGTCCAGCAGATCTTCCAGAGATTCTCCTAGTTCTGGGAGTCCAGGAGTCACGGCAGGTTCATGGCCGCTTTCCATGGGGGGGATGGCGAGAACCCCGGCAGAGATGCACCAGGGCAGGGAGAGGCTTCAGCTGCTGGTCAGTATATGTGTCATGATGGGTCTTAAGTTCTTAGCCCACATGTAGAACACAACGGAGGCTGGGTAAAAGTTTAACAGAGTTTATTTGGGTTTGCACAAATACACAAGATCATAAACTGGAACTGGAACTGGTCAGGGCTGGTTCACTGGAGTCTGCAGAGATGATAGTTTGATTAGGCAACGGACTGATGAGTTATGAGTCTTTGATTATTCAGAAGAATACCTTGAAGGAGTCCGGGCTTCTCTTTGAGAGAGAAGGAACTGTTGGGTCCAGAGACTGTTTGTTCAGCAGAGTCCAAGAGTAGCTGCAGCGTCTTGCTTCTGACTTTGAAGGCAGACCTTGATCTGAGTTTCCAGCTCTTAGCCAAGAGAGCAGGGGAATCCACATAGGAGTCTTCAGGTTTGGCTCACGAGGGCAATCTCGGCAGTTTAAGCTCATCCAGAGCCTCAGGTAGAGACAGGTTTCCTGTGAGGCAAAAAACAAGGAAGAATTAGAATCAGGATCTCTCTCAAGAGACAGCAAAGATTCTTAGGTTCTAGGCTCAGGTCGCTAACCAAACTAGGTCAACACTGCGGCGTCGAAGCAAGGTCTGGCAGGTGGTTATATAGTGCAGGTCTCTGATGAGAAGATGCGCCTCAGGTGTGCTGGAAGACTCCAGCTCTTGGAGACCCACGGCGCACTCTGCTGTAGGAAGGTGGTACAGCTCCAGATCCCAACAATATGAGCTGGAGCTAAAAGAGGGTGATGAAAGACTCAACAATCTTTCAAGGGGCTTAAGAGCATTCCCTCCTCCATCCTTTGTCAACATTAAAGGAGTCATAGAATGCAAAACCGAGTTTCCATTATCATAGATAAATAACGATAGTTCAGTGGGTGAAATGGACATACAGAGAAGTTCAAACCCCATCAACACCTCCTTTCTCTGCAAATATCACAATTCTAAACTTCCACCATAAAACGGGTGAATTCCAACAAAGTCTTGAGTTTATGTCAATTCGGGGATGTTGCCTTATTTGGTTCTGGCCTCTACTTTTGTCACACCCTGAAATTGACATCCAGACCAGCCCACTGGTCCACTGGCCCAAGAACATGAATAGAAGGAAGATGTAAGACACCAGTTTAGCTGTTTAGCCTACAGTTGGGTTTACTTCTCCAAGAATTACAAAGCAGGAAGTTTCTCTATTAAAAATGAGCCTGAACCAGAGGCATAAATGCAGTGTTCCAGGCTGCATGGAGAAAGGGGAAAATTTCACAGTCTTCCCAAGGATCCGAAGACTCGACAGGCATGGATTATTGTTGTTTGACGCTCAGCTGTTCATTTGCTCTCAGCATTTTACCGAAGACAGTTTTCAAAATCTTGGACAGTTCAAAGCAGGATTTAATAAACTTCTTTTACTGAAACGAGGGCCTGTTCCGACTGTAAGGCCATCACAACCGCAAGCTGTAAGAAAGATTCTGTCGCTAAGCTGTTCATAGCTGTGCTGGGCTGCTGACAGGACCAGACCTCAGCAAAGAGCCATGAGCCGCCCGTCCTCAGCCAGAGGAGGGGGGCTGGGGGCCAGCGAGGGGAAGCAGGGGGCTGCCTGTGTTCAGGCTGCCACCATGCCGGGTTCGGTCACTCTGTCCCCAGCTGGCTCCCTCCCCCCTTCTGCCGGGTTCCCGGACCAGCCCTGGAGCTGACGGCTCGGTTTGAATGCGCGTGTGTGTTTTAACTACATGCTGCGCTGTAGTCAACCAATATCGTGGACGATTTTTAAATTGCTGTTTGGTCACCCTACCATATCAACAGTTTGATGTTTCAGTGAATGAGTCCTTGTTGCTATGATGCGTCTTTGCTCAGCAGCTTTGCTCGTTGTAAACCAACTAATCAGCGCACAGCTCATCTAAATATTCATGAGCACCATAAAAAGAAGAAAAGCTGTCATTTCATTCTGGGGCTTTTAACCAGGCTTGCATTAGGGCTCATAGAACAGCAAATATGCCATTTTCAGCCCAACCAATGTTACATACCCTATTAAGGGACCTTTAGGACCAGCACCAAATACCCTATAGAACCATTCTAGGACCCCTTTAATTTCTCCATCTTCCACTTTGATTGCTAAAAGCGTGTCTCTGCTCTCCTCCTTAACCCGATACCACAACCACTTCTAGACAGATTTTTATAATAATTTCTAAGCTGATATGTCAGAGATACCCCCCCCCCTTTTTAGCATCAGTCAGCCAAAGGAAGAATGGGTGGTAATAATCGAGAAGATTTAAGAGGAAAACTGTTGTCTGGCGTCACAATTTAGATTTGGCTTAGCCAAAGATTATTTAGCCTAATGTAGCTCCAGAGCCTCTTCAGGGGAGGAGTAGAAGCTACAATGCAGACATGTTTTTCTTTTTACTATTTTAAGACTTTTGTTTTCTTGTTGGCTCTTTGGCTCAGAGGCAGGAATTCCTTTGAAACTATAAAAGACTCATCAAGCCTTCAGGCAAACAGCTTAGTGAGTGTTTACACATAAATACTGCAGGCCCATGCACATCCATCAGGTCATATGAAACATTCAGTGTCATGAAGATCATTGGCTGATATATTTGTGCAGAAGAAACGACAGCAAAGTCAGGTTTTTAAAGAACATTAAGAAGAAGGACTGTGAAATAATCTGTTATTTTATCCAGTCCAATTAATACTGAGTTTTAATGCTTAATCAAGAAACAAGGAATAAAATCCGTTATTCGTTTAACAAAGAAACCTGTACTTGCTGAGGTTAGATATAATGGCTGTTAGAAGATTTGTTTTAGTGGCAAATAATGTGACAGTAATGTGTTCAGATGTATCCTGAGGGATTTTAATGAAAATATTCGACATTTCAACTTCCTTATTGGTTCAAAAAGCAACAGGTGGCAACCTACAGAGCAGGTGCTTGATTTATTTACAAACACATGTTTTTAAATATTTACATAGTACAGTTAGTGATCAACAGTTTTCTAAATGGCCTCCTTTACAGCGTGTAATCTGGGAGCCCTTTACTTATATCATAATACAAAGCAACATAAAAAGAAATCAAACAACTTAAAAAAACCACCCAACAACCTAAACTATCAAACTGTTGATAAAGAATGCTATTAGTTCTTCAGTAGAAATTACACATTAAAAATCATATTAAATGCTGATTTATAAGAATCCTTTATTAGTATTTACAGGGCCTTAAGCTGGGCATCCACTCTGCGATATTTTCAATCGTTGCTCGCAGCTTCATCTCAAACTGTGCGGCGAAACTTCAGGGTGTAAAAGTTCACAACTCACGACCTCACGATTCCTGATTGGGAGGCGCTGATCGCACCTTGTTACCTGCTGTACGCTATACACAGCACGATCAGGCTGAAAGTTCGCCCAATCAGAAATTGTCGCACAGCTGGAAAACCGTCCTATAAAGGGTAAAAAATCGTACAGCGAATGCTCGATCTTCCTAAACCAGCACAGCATGAAGCTCAGCCTTTGGGGTTTATATCGGCGCAAATTGTGCAATAAACTCATCTCGAGATGTTGTTAAATAGATTAAGAGACTGAGAATCTTTAATAGTTTTTTTCAGTCTGATTCCTCAACATGCTGCACTAAAGCTAGTGCAATTCAGCTTCCACTTTTTCCCACTTAGTAGGGATTTCCACTTTGTGTTTGGTTTATGAGATTAAAAAATTACTGGAATGAGCTGGAAATCCAGGATTCAGTCTGTATACTTCACCCTGCATAATGTATTCTTTATATCAGTTGTTTCCCTCACACCCAAACTTTAAAGTCTGGGTGTGTCAGAGGGAGCATTATCATTTGCATGTGTTTTTACTTATATGCCTTTCTTTTTCAGAATCTTAAGTCTCTCAAGGTGATTAGGATACGTGTTACACCATACTACATTACAGGAAATAAAATAGAGACCTGTAGAAGTTAAAGGAGCTTTAAGAATTAGATGGTTTTATAAATTATAAAATAAACCAACATATTTAAAAAAGTTTACCATTATAATACTCAATTTATGTTTTGAAATACAAAGGCTCATTAAGAAATATTCCCAGGTATTTAGTACTTTCCACATTCTCAGTAGTTCTGTTATTATACTCAGTTTGTATGTCCCAAATATTTTTCCTGATTCTATTTCACTAAAAAATAGGGATAAGTTTTTACATTTAAACCAGTTATTGACAAGATTTTGTAGATTATTTAGATTTTTATGAGAAAATTAGGAAATTGGTGTCTTCTTCATTGGTGTCCTTGTTAAATTTACAGTCATTTGGGTAAAAAATAAAAGGAGAAATCCATCCTTTTATCAATATGCAATTAATATCTATAATTTTTACTAGGGATGCACGATATAATCGGCCCCCTATCGGTATCGGCCACAAAACTGAATATCGGACATCGGCCACCCCACCGATATTTAACCCGATATTTGATCAGCTTCTGAGTTTCTGAAGTCAAAAAAAAATAATTCTACTTCTTCTTCTTCCTCAAAAACTTCTCTTTTACAGACTTAAAAACTTCTAAAGAGGAGGGAAAAAATATTGATGAATTAAATTATCACAGAATCTTCATATGCTGATATATTGCCATTTAAAAACACCATATCAATCTCTTTTACTAATGAAATATTGCTATATGTCATCGTTATGCTACGAAATCCCCCGAAAATTCACGAAATTTTGCCATATTTTTATATGTTGATATATTGACGCGGCATCGATCTATTTTACTAACAAAATCTCACAAGAATTTGCAAAATATCTCGAGAGTTTGTAACAGAACGATGAAGTTTCATGAGATTTTTAAAGTAAAATAGATCGATACCGTGTTTTTAAAAATCTATTTGATATCAGCATATGAAAATATATTTGAGTTTATTATTTTTCAAAGTGTCAGAAATGGATAACAAAACTGCTATTTTCAGTGACTATTTTTGTCCAGCTTTAACATCGGTATCGATATCGGTTATCGGCTACATGAGTTTTAAAATATCGGCATATCGGATATCGGCCAAAATCCCAATATCGTGCATCCCTAATTTTTACGGGAGTCCAAAGGTCCCAGTTCTGCTCTTTTCACCTTTCAAAAAAGTACAATGTGGTGATGATACTATTGGCTCCCATCAATAAAGGGTTTGATAACACAGAGACACAAGTGCTTCCCCCTTTAGTTTTCTGTTTTTTTTTTGTTTTTTTTTTAAATGCAAACTTTATTGAACACCTCTAGTGACAGTCTTACTACTATAAACGGTACGTTACTGTGGAGCGTCTACATTCTCCTTCTCTCTGATGTCCTGAACCGCTCAGACTGAAATCTGGTATTGTCATATTTTAACAGTAGAATAAAAGGCAAAGTTAAAAAGAAAAAATATTTTGATTAAGCATCTAGCCCTACTGTGTGAAGGTAGCCTTAAGGGCATATTCTGAAATAGTCAGATATTAATTAGAAATTTAAAAACCAGTCTTGTGTCTGTTTTTATCATTCTTGGTCAGAATAATAACATTTTAATCTCTGTTTAAGGTTGGTGCTTTTCTCAATACTCCACAGTCATGTTTTGCTGGTTCCAGGTCTGCAGCAGGGAACGGAGGGCCAGAGGGGACAATTCACTCTGGTGTGTCGAGACTCCGGTGGAGAGCAGCTGAGCCGAGGAGGAGAACTGGTCCTGGTCAGCATCGTCCACAAAGAGAAGAAAAACTGGTGAGAAATCCTTTCTCTGCCTTTGCTGGTTCAGCTAGCCAGCCGAAACACTGTCCGACCGCCCTGGAGCAAGTGGAAAAGTTTTAGCTTCACCTGAATGAATTTAGTAAAATGTCTTTTTTAAGGAACATTTGGCAATCTGATTAATCAAAAAAATAATCAACAGATCAATCGATTTGCAAAATAATCATTAGATCCAGCCCTAATTACATCTATAATTCAATTCAGTTTATTTATATAGCGCTAATTCACAACACAATTCATCTCAAGGCACTTTACAGTTGAACCAGATCATACAGTCAAATTAATTCAAAGTTTTCTATCTGAGGAAAACCAGCTGATTGTAGGGTTGTCAAAAGTATCGATACTCAAAAAAGTATTAATACTGAAACATTGTATCCGGATACAAAACTCGTTTTTAAAAGCATCGATACAGTGCCACCAGCAGTGGCACCTAAGCAGTCATTCATCTAAAGTGCAGAATAGAGGAGAATGCACTTTCTGAACACTGTGTGATTGAATAATTCTGTGCACTTTTCAGTTTCAGTCTTTTTTTTTTGTAAGAGGTGCAGCTGCTGAGAAATATTTTTGTTTTTTAACCGGTTTGGCTAGTGTCATTGTTACAGTATGTGTGCAAAGCATAGCCAAGGAAGGAACACTTAATTTTAATTTTATAAGTTTTTTTATCAAGCTTGCTTAATATTGTGCACAACAAACAATCTCAAAATATTGTTCTTATTGTTTATTGTATTTTATTTATTAATGAAAATATTTCTGTAGAATTTTGGAGTCTTTGTTTTTATCCTTGTGGTATGGAAAATGGTATCGAGTATCGAATATTTTCCGTAGTATCGGTATCGAGTTGAAAAGCTTAGTATCGTGACAACCCTAGTTGATTGCATCGACTCACTGACTCAAATACAATCCCTCACACTAAGCATGCTTGTAGCAACAGTGGAGAGGAAAAACTCCCTTTTAACAGAAAGAAACCTCCAGCAGAACCAGGCACATCTATATCGTTGTGTAGTTTGTAAATGCTTAAATTTTAGAAGAGAACTTCTAAAAAGTTCTAAAGGAGCCAGAAAGTCGATGTCAGATCTTTTTTTTTACTTATTTATTTAAAAAAAATGTTAAAAGTGGGATGAGATTGAAATTTTTAATGGATTAAATTCAAGGTCTATCATTAATTAATCAGAACTAATTGCATTTTAATCGTAAACAATATTTCAACAACATAAACTACCTTTTCATAAAAACTCTTTTTTTCCTCCTAAATTATTGAATGAATATGAAACAAAAATATTGTTTTTATCCAATAAGTAGTAAAGTCCATCATCAGATTGTTTGAAAGGCATCCTTTAGCTTTTTTTTCCATTAACAACTCATATTCTTTGCAAACCTTTTTGAAAAACTAATTCCAAGTGTGAGAAAACTGGAACATTAGTTATAGCAAAATTTCTTCCACTAAATATGGTGAAAAGAAAATGTGCTGCACTGAGATGGTTTTTTAAACCTGAATTCCCCCACAGGACCAATGCTTGTGATGCTGTTTTTTATTGTATTTAGGTGTTTAAATCTTTCTTATTTGTTAATAGAAATGAAGTTGGTCCTAAATAATATGTATGTAAGATGAGGAAAACAGATTTAAAAAGATTTGCTTTTTACAGCAGAGTGCTGATTTAAATATCTGTTAAGGAAATAAATTTTATCAAAGTTATATGTTTGTTTTCTGCGTTCAGCACAATAGAGACGACGGTGGCAGACAACAGTGATGGAAAGTACAGCGTCTCCTACAAACCCGAGGAACCAGGGCAGTACTCCGTTTGGGTTTGTGTCAGAGGCCAACATGTTAAGGTGCTGTACTGCATTTAAATAGAAACGTTTCTCTGTTTCTACATTGCTGATAAATATCACTATTTTCTGGTTTCTGTTTCTTTAATATTTCTAATCTTATTCATGTTGCATATATATTTATATTGTTTTCTTGTACTTCTGCTTTTATTTGGAGCCTTGCAACAAATAAATTTGATTTCAGTTCTATTTATTTGAATGAAAATAAAGTCTAAATCTAAAGAGCAGCACATGGACTGTAAAATGAAGCGAAAGAAGCCAGATTACTTGATATTTTGGGGAAATAATAAATTATTTATGTATACTGGTGAAAATACTGAATTAGAAACACTTTAGTTCAGCTGCAGCACATGCTATAGAGACCGTGTTTAGCATAACTATGACCACTAGATGGCAGCAAACTGCTTAAATTTGGGTTTTGTTTGAATATTTTTTAAGGCAATATACTGTTAGCTTGTTTGGGTTAAAATGCTCCTGAGTTTAAAGCTGTTCTTCCTGCAGGGTTCTCCATTTAATCTGAATGTGAAGAGGAAGTTCAGGCACCACGGCGGGACCTTTCACTGCTGCACCTTTTGCTCCAGTGGTGGAGCTAAAGAGGCTCGCTGTGGGTGCCCAGGAACCATGCCAGGTACTCACACAGAAAAACTATCAGTAAAGCGATTGTTTTTAATTAAAGCTTTTTTATCATTTAAACTAATGCAACTCTGTTGTCTCTTATGCCCGTCCTCCTGCAGGAGGATTTAAAGGCTGCGGTCACGGCCATAAGGGGCATCCAGGGAAGCCTCATTGGTCTTGCTGTGGCAGCACAGTGGAGAAGTCTGAGTGTTTGCCTCAGAGCATACTGGCTGCCGTTTCCCCTCGGGGACACCTTCGAACTGCAGAGCTCTGATAAGATGGTGAAGGGGACAGCAGGAGGGTCAGAGAAGCTGGGAAGTTAGACTCGGTTTGAAAGTGTAAAGCTAAAAAAGGTTCAACATGGAGGAAGAGAGACTATGGAGAGATAATCGGTCTGCTGGCTTCTGTAGCTACAGCTCAGCCAGGAGGAGAAACCTAAAGGAGTTTCTCCTCTGGGTTAAAGCTCCGGGGTCACAATGAGGAAAATAATATTGTGTTTAAAAATCTAATGTTTCGCCTTTAAAATCTTGTTTTCTTTGTTTTTGTTTTTTTTATTGGGAAACAACCCTAAAGGGTCCACCAGTTGGGAAAGTAATAAAGTACATACAAGTTAAAGATTTAGAGATGGTTCTGGGAAGTCCTGCTGCCTGATATTTTGTACCCCCCCCCCCACAGTATGTTTCAGTGTAGCCTTTTATTGTGGGAAGTCTAATGCACACCTGTGCACTAATCACAGGTCTAATCAGCATCTTGATATGGCACACCTGTGAGGTGGGATTAATTATCTCAGCGAAGGAGAAGTGCTCATTAATACAGATTTAGTTTAGCTCGTGAACAATATTTGATGGAAATGGTGATATTGTGTATGTGGAAAAAGTTTTAGATCTTTGAGTTCATCTCATGCAAATAAAGGCTTTCACATCAATTAAAGGGTAGGAATAAATGGCGACACATAGTTAAATGTCTCAAAATGGATTTAAAAAATCCAGAAAATGTTATTTCCAATCTATAGAAAATATTCTGAAGCTAAATAATCTGAAGTCACAGGAACAGCAAACTACCATCCTAGAGTCTATAGAGGAGAAAATAACGGTGCACCAGAAACAAATATGGCAGAATGTGTGTTCTAAAGGGAGAGGACCACACAAGGTGCTAGTATTTGTAATATAATATTAATCACACATAATATCTTAAGACCAGCTGGTTGTTTGGGGCAGTTAAGCTTTCATCTGTTATAGCAATTTGAAACAGCATCGACTGAACACTGGTTGCCTTTCTGGTTAAGAAGCCTTAATGTGAGGCGACACTGGGACCCTAAAGGTGTGACTGAGCCATGAAAGCCTTTCTGTATATTCTGACTAAATAATAAAAGCTAACTTAGTTTTTATTTGCTGATTGTTAAGATGATTTGAAAACTAACACCACTTAGTGCTCCAAAGTATATCATCGGTTTAGAGTATTTAAAATCACTGTTAATTGGCACTCGTCTGTTCTAAACATTAAAGTTTGTGTTTTGCTGAATTCTCTCTGCCTTCCGCTTGTAATTCTAAAGGAATAAAAACATTGTTTATGTTCTGATCTTTACATTTACTTTTATGTTGTACTGTTTTGAAATTAGACCCTGATTAGCAAACAATCAAATAATAATGTATGTGATGTTCTCGTGCTTGGGATCTATAGGGATTCCCACAATCCTTTGCATCGTAAGGCATTTAGGCACAGCACTCATTAAGTTAATTAAAATAGTTTATTTCTTCACGTGTTTGCTGTATTCAGAGTGAGGGTGAACTGGAGCCTTCATCCTATCTGTGATACTGTTTCAATGGTAAATTCCAGGTGCAGTCCAGATTATTAATCTCCTAAATTTTAGTACCTTTATTGCACTACTGGTATTTATTTGGAAGTATGCTAAGAGGAAATATGATTGAGAGGAAGGATGCAAAGGTCCATGGGCTGAGAGTCAAACAAAAAAGGCTAATTTCTTCCAAATACTTGACTTTCAACCACCAGCCTCTTCAGCTCTGACCTTTTTGCATCATAACAGCTTTCTAAATCTTCAGTTCTCAGCAGGGGTGTGAAGGAGAGAAGATCTGCTTTAAGGAATTATAAACATGTTCTAACAAACAAAATTTTGGACTTTAATTATAATTAATTATATGTCATAAACATACAGTGAAAATATTTGATTTGGGAGTAGGACAGCCATCAGAAGGAGGTGGTTAACAAAGGATTATACTACAATTAGAATATGACCAAAGCAGGGGGGAATTTATGAAATGGAGAAGCAAAACATTCATCCTTTGGTATGATTAAATAAAACTGGAAAGTTTATGAAACATGAAGACGAACTATTTGGCGACAGAGATGATACTGTTTGAAGAGATTGAAACTCTCCTCTTTTAATCTTTGCTGAGGCTGTTTTTTTTTATTTATATATTTTAACCTATTTGTTGTAAATTTCTATATTGGTATTTGTTTTTTTTGCTATATTCCCTTTTTGTTTGTTTCCTTGTTTGCTTTTTTAATGCATGTTTTGCAGCAAAGACAAAGAAAGGAAAATTGTTTATAAATGATACTTCACAGAATCATCCATTCGTTTTATTACCTTCACCGTTTTCTTTATATACTGTATATATATTTTAAGATATTTGATTTACGTTGATGTCTAACTTGATTTTCAGAACATATGCAGTTAAACCGCTAACTTAAGTCCTATCCTTTCACTATTTTGACAGTTCTTTATCTGTCTTTCTTGCTAGAACATAATATGACATAGACAGAAAATGTGTCATTGTATACATAATAATAATTAAACTTTAATCTCACACTTGAGAAATCTATCTCTGCAATGAACTCATATGCTTGGGGAGTAGTGGGCTGCCATTGTGTGGCACCCGGGGAGCCGTGTGTTATGCTCAGAGACCCAGAGTGGAAGCTATGAGGATCTAACTGGGCACCTGCAACCTTCTCAGAGCACAAGCGCACTGTTCTAACCCCACGGCCAACATTCCCTCTGTTCTGAGAACACTCTAATGTGGAGGTCTTCAACGGGGGTCCACAGAGGTACTGCATGGGGGTCGTGAAAGTTTTGGTTGATTAGACTTTTTTTAATATTCCCCCCTGCAATTTTTTCCACCAACTGAAATGTCTTTAAAATCCACATAAACATGAATCCAACACACTGTAGTGAACAATTAAATGGATGCAGAAGATGTCTTTCAGTCATCAATGCACACATTCAGCGACACACAGGAGCTCTTTCAAACTGGGCACCATTTCATTCACAACACCTGTCCCATCAACCAGGAATCAGATTCAGAAATACTTTAATAATCCCAGGGAGAAATTACTTTCATTACATTCCTCCATCTGTAATAGAGTGACTATATTTGATATAACACAATTTCATACAATATATATAATTAGGGGGTCCCCGCTCCATCTCGCCATCAGTTTGGGGGTCCTTGGCCTTTAAAACATTGAAGACCCCTGATCTAATGTTCTTCCTTGAAGAAAACATTTTATTTAAAAACATGTATAGCGTCACAGCTGTATTATATTGAGTTACCAAACAGGAAAATGTCATTCTGCTGACTGTTATTCAGATCCAGCCATTTAGAGCTCAGTAACATAAACTAAAGCTGGATTCTGACTGTAGGTCCAGTATAGGAGGGAGACTGAACGTCTGCCTAAAGAGTTTTTATTTTGTTAGATGTGAGCTGCTGCCTATGTCTCTTTTTAAACCGTTATAAATTGATGTATCTAATTTCATTTCCTTTTTTCTTGTTGTTTGTGACATTAAAGCTAGAGGTAAGCAGAGGGTTTTTCTGCAGAGGGATTATTCCTAAAGTGTCTCAGGCTGAGGAAGTAAAGCCACAGCAGAAAAATACATTTCTAGTCCGTTTAGAAGTTCAGGTGAAGCAGGAAGATCAGGAGCTCCGGATGATGGGGTGATAACTAACCCATCCAAACTTCGACAGCCAGACCATTTCTGGCTGCTTTTGGTTCTGACCTGAAGAACTCTCTGGAAGGCCACCATGACTTCATTTAACCTGATTTAAAAAGACAAATCTCAGAGAAATTGTAGGAGCTGTTTATTTAGTACATAAAAACTTTGCTGGTTTAACACTTCACACATATAAAAGTCCTAAGTAATGACATAAGGTGGTTCTTCACTAGAAAAATGTTCTTAATTTAAGCTATGGTCAGAACGGCCCGCTCCCTCTTCCTCCTCCTCTTCTTCTTCTCCTCCAGCTGGCCAGTGGCGTCAGTGAAGAAGGTCACATCCTCCTTGCTCTCTATCTCCCTCTGGAGGAACTGCAGAGCAGCGCTGTTGAATCCCAGCAAATCCTGAAAAAAAAAATAAAACCTGTAGAAAGAACAGCCTCTGTGTGTGTTGACCAAATTAACCATTAATGAACAGAAACCCTGATAAAAATGTTAAATTATACTTTTAGTTTAAAAGAAAAATCTATATCAAACTCAGTTATTTCTAGCCTCACAAATAATGTAATAGTTCCTTAAAACCTTTCATTCTTATCTTCAGGTAACACAGAGTACATGTCAGATTAAATAATAGTACTTTAGCAATAGTTTCAAAGTGTTACTTTATTGTATGTCTTGTACCATGTCTGTTGGTTGTGCTGTTCTTTTTAAATCTCTTTGCAGGTGATTTCTTTCATCTTTTCTCCTTTTTTTTCAGTTTTTCCTTTCCTGTTTTACTTACATTGCAGTGTCCATATAATCTGTAAAACTCCCTGCATAATTATAATAAAGCAATTTATATGCATAAAACAAGCGGAACACTGTGGCAATAGCCGTACTGCTCCACTTGTGAAAGTAAAATCTGTTCTGCTCTTTTTGGCATCAAGACAATTATTCTTAATGCCAAATTGCCAGACAGGACACAGTTAAAAAAGAAAACGTAATTTTTCATAAACCACTGAAATCAAGCATGTGTGAGGATGTAAAGAATCCACTTTTTAGTATTCTGTATTTTCAACATGTTTTTTTTTTCTTTTTCATGGCATAAAATGCATTAGCTGTTAAATTATTAGTTTAACTAACCTTTAACTAAATTAATATGTATCCCAAGAAAAAACTGAATATAAAAACCAAAAATGTGATCAGATGTTCTGGTCTAATTTCCCAGGCTGCTTTTCTATGCAGATGATAACTTACTCTGATTTGCCGCACTCTGGAGAGCGTATTGGTCTTTAGCTCATCAATGACGGACACCAACATCTGGTTACTGGTGATCTGACCAAAGTGGATCCTAAAAAACAAAAAAGAGCTGCTGCAGTGACACCTTTATCAGGAAGTGCTTCGCTAAACACAGAGGGAAACATGGTTATTTTTCCTACGACTCATATTTCTTTAGAACGAGTAACACTGACAGGATTAATCAGCTATGACTCCTTTTTTAGATGAGTCAATTATCATTCACCGTACTTAAACTCATTGGAAAAAATCAGATTGGCTACACGTAAGCAGCTTCTCTTCCACTCATCATTTCGCAGTGCAGATAATATGAATGGTTTCATATAAGGAGTGGAAGACTTAATAATTTGTGCTTTAAAAGCATCCTAACAGTTGATGTTTATGTTTCAAATTGCTGTTTAAATTAAAACAGCTGTAAAGAGATTCACCTGAAATCATCTCCTGTGTTTCAGACGGAGAGATGATAATCTCCACATCTTTGGGGGATTTATAACTGTGTTGGATATAGCAGCAACAGATTCTAACATTATGAATCATAAAGATAAGATAGATAGAAAATGATTAAAGATCTAAATTATATAAACAATATTTTACTTCTATCAGGAAATGAAAACAACTAAAAGACATAATTCCACTTTTTCAAAAGGCTTCCACCTGAAATATTCCTACATTAAGTGGCATTTATTAGAGAAGTGGGAATCAGAGTTAAATACAAGGCTAAGTGGGATAATATGTGGAAAGATAACCAATGAGGGTTTAATGGTCAAATATGGAAGAATTTAATGGAAATGATACAGTTAGATTAATCCACCCATACAGACATGTTGTAAAAGAAACTTTGGACAAACAGAACACCGTAAACACAAATTCTGTGATTATCCAGTTATTCAAAAAAACGGAGAGATGTCAAAGTGGAACGTGCGAACATTTTGGTAATGGAGGTTCCAATAAATCCTTTTTTTTACTTATTGGGGGTCGTTGATTTCAAAATAAATCACTCCATTCACACAACTCCAATAATAAAGTGAACCGTTGTTTAAAAATGTTCTGAAATGAAAAACTGCTGTTTTTCCATTTGTTCTGTTTATATCTTAGATACATTATTGACATACTTAATAAACTTAGAGAATCTTCTGTCAAATTAAATAAAAGACAAAATAAATAGCTTAAAATATATATATTATATCAAAACGTAAGACTTTTTAAAAGCCTGTATCCTGTTTAGCTCCACATACTGACAGCCATCAGTCACTTCATTTCCACTGAGGCCATTCATTTATTACCATGTAATAACAAAACAACTAAAAAACAGTGGGATGATCAACACCCCTCACTGGGTTTAAACATGTTTGCAAACAGAAATACACATTAAATATGTATTATGATTAGATAGTATAAAGATGCTTTAAGTAATTTCCCTCTGGGATTATTAAAGTATGTCTGTTTCTGAAAGTATGAACAGTAGAGGGATTGAAAGTGGCAGATGACTGAACATCTCCACCAGTGGAAATGTTGATTATTCAACTGATTCCTGCGAAGCAAACAGGTTTGTGCGACGAAAAGCCCTTAAAACTAATCTTAGATCATCTTAAGGGGGAATCTAGTTTAAAAATGCACTCGTTTGATCTGTTTTAATGTTTAAAAACAGCATATATTGTCTATGTTTCAACAGGGTTTATACAGGAATGAATGACTCTAATTTAATGTTTTTTAATGCTCTTAGAAATAATTTTAATGCAACCAACAGGTCCCCGTCGACAGGCTGCAGCCATACCCTGAATTCCTCGTTTTCCAACCACTTTTGTTGAAATTGGCATTCTTCCCCATTTTCTAGCTTTTTCTCCGACTCAAGTTTCTTTTCCAAACATACGTCTTTGCGATCAACTGGACGCAGTTCCATGCAAATATATTGTGATATAATATGTCTGACGAAATTGTTTTTAATAATTTTTTTTTTTTAAAGAAAGCATTTTAAATGCCACCATAAATACATTTAATGAAATTTAATGCCAATTAAGGCCATAATTAAAAAAATTATAATTTAATGACTTTTAATGATTTTTAATGACCCACGGAAACCCTGTTTAAAGATGCATGAAAAGAGGCTTAAAAAACTTTTCATGCATCTCCCAGAAACTGAACTAAAAACACTGCAGAGAATAAATCTGAGGTTTAATTTGTATTATTTAGTTTTTTTATATTAATGTTATAATGTAATGTAATGTAATGTATCATAAATATTAAAAGTGTGGCCTTTAGAAATCCTGTTGAGCTCTAAATGAGGAGCCATTTATGACAAGAAGGTCTGGCTACTTGGAAGCAAATATATCCATTTGTATGCAGACGTCCTGCATAAATAAAAGTTTATCAATAAGACAGAAAATACCTGAATGTTTGAGAAAACAGAGGAAACTAGATTTAGAAGCAGATAATTAAGCTGAACAGAGTTACGACTCACTTTAGAAGGAAGAAGAGGCAGCGGCAGACGAGCTCCACCTCCAGGCCCTGCTGGATGTAGCTGTTGAAGAGCTTTAGCAGCTCAGGGACGTAAGGAAACGGCAGCACCAGCAGAGAAACCTCCAGCTCACTGATGATCAAAAGAAAATGGTGAGAAAACCAGGAGAAAGGAGCGTTTAGTTCTTCTGTTCATTCCTTACCTCGATCTGACTTTCTTTATGACGTCTAAAACGTAGCGGGACGGCTGTAGGAGGGATGGAAACCATGGTTACTGATAACATTTGTTAATCTGTGGGAATATTTTAGGTAAATATTCAGTAAGAATCGTTTTACTTACGGTTACGTTTCCAAAGGCCACCAGGATGGGATTGGGTTTAGGAGGAGGCAACTAAAAAAGAAGCGGATTACATCTTTAGATATTCAGAGGTTCAGTCCAGCTAAGCCTTGATAAAACATGCGGGCTGGAGGTCAGAGCTGCAGCTGAAGCTTGGTTTCACCTCTTTGCCAGCTTTCTCACAGAAGTACTTGTGCTCCTCCAGCTTCCTGCTTTCTTCTCTGAAAAGCTCCAGCGCCTCCATGATTCGCTCCGCCTGCACAGAAACAGGCGCCATCAAGGTTTTTATTCATCATCGGCCGTCTGAACAGACAGATGAACAATAATTCAGCCAATCGCATTAAATGGTTGGAAATAACAATAATAAAACTTTCTTAAAAAAAAAAAAGTATAAATAAAGGAATAGGAGAAAATGAATATCTATTAAAGGAAAGTTTAACTATCCACTGCACTTTCTTTTCCTCGTTTTGACCCGTGGGTTTGTGAAAAAGGGTAAATACAAACTAACTTACATATGAAATTTAGATAATTTACCTTGTTTTCAAAGTTAGTCCTTAATTTTAAGCATTGAACTTTTCAGTATAATCTTCAGTCTTGCCAAGTAAATTTTTCCTGTTAAACTTACAAACTATTTGACTTGTTTTGAGCAACTTTTCCCTCAGATTTCGTGTTTTTATCTGGTTTTTAGACAAATATTATTGGTGGCGTATTAAATACCCTGTCAGTGTTTTAAAGATGTTGAATTCTGTTTATTATGGACAATGTTCCAGTTCATGATTAAAAAGAATGAGCTGAAAGTTCAGCTCACATAGATGAAAGTTAACTAGCTCATTAACTAAAATGAACAAAGTTTACACACCTTTAACTAGTTCAGGTTCATTTGTTAAATTAAGCTACAATCCTACAATAAAACCTCTTATTTCACCCTTTAAATGTGTGTTCATAATATATAGAAAGAAATGGAAAATACTTGATGCAGTCAATGTATACTGGATGTGCAGTGAAGCCTTTATTTAGCCAAACTACAGAGAACTTCAGAAACATTCAGGTTCTGGATCAAAACTGATTTCTTATGTTCCTCATTCCGTTGCAGATATTTCCAAATTTGGCTTGGAGGATTTAATTCGATGTGTTGCTTTAAATGTGAAGTGGACGTGGCTGAATTATGGACTTGTTCTGGTGGGCCCAGTTTGCATAAAAATGTGAGAGTCTTGTTTTTGATAGCGCTCCACAAAGCTGGCATCAGAAAATACCAGATGAGTCTGAATGGTGCAGACTAGAACTAGCAGGAAACATGCTGCTCTGTCTGTTTGCTGTAATAAATGCCATAAAAACTGACGTTATCCAATAAAAATTGTCGTTATCAGTAGGGCTGCAACAACGAATCGATAAAATCAATAAAAATCGACTTTTAAAAGCATTGGCAATGAATTTAATCATCGATTAGTTGTGTCGCGCGATTAATGCGTCATCCGCCGCCGCCGTCATCTGGGGGAAGAAAAAAAAATATGGCGGAGCGAGTCAGCGCCGCAGCTGCAGTGTTGCCAACTCAGCGACTTTTCAGACCCCTCCAGCGACTAGTTTTCAAAAAAGCGACTAGCGACAAATCTGGCGACTTTTCACGGTGTCACTGGCGGCTTTTGCCTGCCGTGGGTCGCCTCCCCAATCCCAACCCCTTTCTCCCTCTCCCACAGGAATCCCTCTTAGCGCAGCAGTCAGACTGCAAATTAAGCGCGCATGCACCGGGATTGACGGCGCAAATTGATCACAATAATTAAAATAGCCTGCGCTTTGTACAGTGAAAAAAGTCGTAACATGCAACTTTTGTAAAAACAAATTAACATAACACGGAACCACCACTGTTATGACGCAGCACCTGAAAAGAAAACACGTTGGAGCCTTCAATGGCAGTGAAGAGAGCTGATCAGCAGGATGAGTAACCATGTTTGTTTGGTTTTAAAATTGGGGAAACGTAACGTTGGTTTCTCAGGTAGCTCATCTGATGCTTTCCTTACCGTGTTAGTAGGTTACAGACAGTGATAAGGTTGGCTACTTATTTTACTTTTAATTTCATTTGAATTAGCTTAAGCAGCGTTTACATTTACTTTATAAATAAATTAACTTGCAAATTATGAGGGCAAGGCTTTTAAAGTTTAAATCTTCTGGCAAAGATAAAGAAAAGAAGATCCTGCAATTTATGGAAGTAAAGCAGAATAAAATCCAGCAAGATCAGTAATATGTCAATGAATTATCTGCCACATTCCCATGTAAATATCTGTCTTTGGAGGATGTGTTTTTTAGCACCCCTAGTTCTCTCATTTTTATTCCAAATACAATTTATAATTTGAATCACAGGGCTATTTTTATCTCTATGGTTTAGTATTTTCTCAAGCAGCAACTTTAACTGCTATACTTTCCTGTCTTAAAAGGCAGAACTCTTCTAGTCTAAAAAAAACTCATTTGTTGAAATGGGGGGGCCTATTGTTTGAACCCCTTAGGGGTTCAACAATAATGGAACAAATTTCCCGCCGTACATAGGGCCACCATGTTGATGTTTGAGTACGCAGCCTCACTAGTACTGACACTAGTGAAAGGATTTCAGTTAATATGACTGTGTTAATATGACTATGACCTGGATGACTGAGAACCTTCATCAGCATTTCAGTTAATAGTGAGTACGGCGGTCACTGCTGTTCAGCTTTCCAGTTTGGTAATATTAGAAAGCAGGAGACATACTAAAGTATTTATGTCTAGTCTGATGCACTCAGTGATAAAAATATTTTCTTGTTAAAAAAACAACAAGTTAAAACACAAACAGAACAAACGGCTGGAATATACTGATTTATCTGAAGATGAATATTTGTTGCTTTGTGTTTTTAAGGGCATTTTAACAGATAATTTGTTTCATGAAACGTTCTCTTCTTTATGATTTTGTTTGAACCTCGATTACATGTAAAAAAATATATATTATAAAAAAAAATATCCATCTTTGTTCCCTCTAAACTTCAGAGATAAGGTGAGGAGTATATATTTAAAACAGATCAAATGTTGAGTGATCTTAGAGTCCGTTTAGGTTTAGAAGAACTGCTGCCGACGGCTGAGAAGAGGAAGTAGACTTACAGCCTTTACTGTCTCGATGCTCTTCTTGCCGGCTGGTGCCGCCTCTCCCTCCGTCTCTCCTGGTACCTGCAGACACACCGTAGTTCATTTGGCCCAGTTCATTATCAAGCCTGACTTGACTAAAGTTTATATAACATCAAGTACGAATCAGTACTATATTCTTGACCCAGTTCAACTTTATACTTTAAATACAGGATTTCCCTCTCATATTTAAAGTAATCATTAGACATTAGTTGAATTGAAGATGTTAGACCATAAAAAAAATCTCTTTTATCATGGTTTATTAGTCAAAAGGTTTCTAAAACAAAAGGATCTGCTTAATGACTCTAGTTGAACTGGCGACACATAAAACTACAGAAACATGTGAGGAACTAAATGAAGATCTGAGAAGCCAGACTGAAGATGAACAATAATGAATAACCAGAGTTTAAGACAGCGACACAGCATGCATTATTAGAATGTGTCAATATTTGGTGAAGGTTTGGAATAAGAAATCTGTCACCATTAGATGAAAGAACCATAGGAACCATTTTATCCTAGCCTGACCCTCCCTCCTGGTGGGCCGTCGCAGGCCTCCAGTCCTCCACTAAAAATCTCCCTAATCCAAAACTGTCTGCATGGTTTGTAGAAAAAAAAACAGAAGAAGAAAACATAACTACTTCCTTTTCTTTTCACTGGTAGAGGAACCTTAGAAAACCTTTCTATGGTAGAGGAAAATAATTATCTTATCTTTTAACTCTGTTTTATACAGTGTTAAAGATGTTGCATAAAGGACTGAACAAAAAGAATAAGTAGAAATGTCTTTAAACCCTAGTCTGCCTCAGCATATCGCTGCTCACACTGAGCCTGGTTCTGCTGGAGGTTTCTTCCCGTTAAAAGGGAGTTTTTCCTCTCCACTGTCGCTACAAGCATGCTTAGTGTGAGGGATTGCTGAAGAGTCAATGAGTCGATGCAATCAGCTGGTTTTCCTTAGGTAGAAAACTTTGAATCAATTTGACTGTATGATCTGGTGAACTGGAAAGTGCCTTTAGATGACATGTGTTGCGAATTAGCACTATAGAAATGAAATGAATTGAACTGAAATTTAAACCAGAGTATGTGTCCTCCACTTCAGCAGTTAAATAATATGATCTGCCAACAGAACAAACTTTTTTGTCCATAAAATAACATCATTGGCAATGAGGTGAAATAAGCAGTTTAAGGTTTAGATATGAAAGCAGCATAAACTCACCACAGGAACCGGTCCTTTAGCCAGACTCTCTTCAAACTCCGCCTCCCTCTCCTGTAAAAGTAAACATGGCGTTAATACAGACACTGGGTGATCAGAGGCGTCCACGCCTGCAGCTCACCATCTCTCGCTCCTCCTCCAGGATGATGGGCTCCCTCGTCCTCTCCCACAGACGCAGCGACTTGTCGTGAGACGACGACACCAGGTGATCTCCGTTTGGGCTGATGGCCAAGCACCAGACCTCCCGATGGTGACCCTGAGACCCACAGAGAGACGTTAGGGTGAGACAGAGACCTTGCCAGGCCGCTGGTCACAGCTTCAAAGAGGAGAGTCACCTCCAGAGTCTGGATGAGCTCAAACTTGTCAGCGTCCCACTGTTTGATCTTCTTGTCCTTCCCGGCGGTGAAGAACAGATGAGTCTTTGGGACAAACTGAAGAAACATGACGCTGAGGAGAACAAACAGGAAGTCAAGACCAGCAAAACTTTTACAAGACAAAATAAAGCAAACTGTGAGCAAAAGATGCACAGACATGTTAACTGTGTCTAAAACTAAAGCAACACAATCAAGAAGAGCTGAGAGGATATGGAGTTAATTTTGTTCCACTTTTTGTTATATAAATGGAATAAAAAAAAGAACGCCAGCTAGAAATGAAATTTTAAAAAACGTCTTATTTAAAAAAGGTTTTAAGAGTTTTTTCTGAGATTTTATTTTTTCAGATAACTTCATTTTTTCTTCTTTCATATTTCAATGTTAATTTTCATTTGAGTTTTTTTTTTTTTACCTCTTTTTATATTCTGTTTTTTTCACCTATATTTAATTTTCTAAATTTTGTTTTCCCACTGATTCTAAAGAACTGTATTCTTTAAAAATGGCGTTTTATGAATCCTATTCCCTCCGATTCTGGAGGCAGCATCGGAGCACTCTGGATTGAGGCGCAAATGGACGTTAGCAAAAGTTATTCACAAAACATTTTCTGATTAAGATGTTTTACAAAGTTTCATTTCTGGATTGCATTCTTCAGATTTCCTTTTAAAAACGTGTCTGTTGCAACAATAATGGAACAAAATTCATGCAATAAGAGGAAAGAGCAGGGTGAGATTAAGGGACATGGATCAGGTGTTTGTTTAACGTCCTGAGCTCCGACTGGGGAGAAAAAATTTGTGCTCCAGTGAACTCTGGATTGGTTGGTTGGTACCTGTCATCATGAGCGAACAGAGATCTGTGACAGTCTCCGAAATCCAAACCCCAGATCTTAACGTTCCTGTCAGCAGAGCCGGTGGCGATGAGCGTGCTGTCCTGTTTAAACAGAGCAGAGTCAGATTGACGAAGGCAGAAAATGATCAACTGGACTCGGTCGGTCATTTACCAATAAACACCTTACAACAGGAGGCGTCTAAACTTTTTCAAACCATTTTTATGTTCTCAAGAGCCACAAAACTAAAACTGTAAAAACATTTTTACATTTGATCAGCTTTGCCTCTTCAATGGCAAACAAAGCTCAGATAATTTGAATAAATCAAGCAAAGGAGTCTGATTTCTAGAGAAAAGCAATAAATATACCGGTATATATAACAGAAAAATTACTAAACAGGTTTAAAAGGTTGCATGTCAGTGCAAATTAAAACCTGACATTTTACAAACATGAATCTAGGGATGAAAGAATTAACCGGATTAATCGTGATTGATTATTGAAATAATCATCAACTTAGTAATTGATCAAATGTGAACAGGAATGTAGATACTCTAAAACATTCCTTTAGCTGATTGAGCAACCCACTTACAGCAGTAATTGCATCAAAATTATCAGAAATAATATAAATATTTTGCATTTTAGCATTAGCGCCCTCCTCTGGCTGAAGTTATAACTGTCCTGCTGCACAAACCCAGGCATAGTCTGAGCTCTGGTGTTTGTGTTGGTAGGTCGATCTGTAACAGCATCATACAACTGAGCAAAATATTCCTCATAGATGTTCAGACTTTAACTGTCGCTGCTGCTCCTTCGTGACCGCCGTGATATATTTAGTGTTCAATACAATCTATCTGACTTAAGACCAAATTAAAAACCAAAATGCTTTAAAAGTCCCCCGAGCTGATGCTTCTGCAGCCTCAGAGCCACTCACATGTGAGATGTCCAGACAGAGCACAGGCAGCTTGTGTCCATACAGGGACAGGAAGAACTGAAACAGAAGCAGAGACGCGCATCCATTAGTAAATGAGAACTGCATCAAACACAGCTGGATGTGACGACTGTGAGACGCACCTTCAGGGTGTCTGTGTAGAAGATCTTGACGGTGCAGTCTAACAGAGAGACGGCCAGCAGTCTGTGATCAGGAGAAAACTTCACACACAGGACGTCTTCCTCCAGCTGCAGCGTTCGGGTGTGCTTCAGCGTCAGCCGCCTGCATCACAAAGGCAAAGATTTAATGAGAAAATACGAGAAGCCCTGTGAAACATCTTTACCTGGAAGAACCATCAAGGGGAAACGTGGAAACTTACTTCTGACTCGTCTCTGGGTCTTTGATGAGCTCAAACTCCCAGAACTTTACTGTCTTATCAGCGCTTCCAGAGATGATTCCTCTCTGCAGGAAAAACAGGATAAACCTTAAAGTCGTAGGGAAGCGGCTGTTCCAACCGTTGCATTTCCAAATTCTCCCGAGAGGTGCCCGACTTTACACGAGTGAATAAAGTGAATGTGATTGGTCGTTTATCAAGGGGGCGGGATTGTTGTGGCAGAAGGTTCACAAGCTTTTTGGTTGTGGCCAGTTTGTCGGAAGCATCTTGCTAACCAGTTAGCAACTTAGTGCTAGTAGGTTCCCAATGGGAAATAACATTGGGACCAAGTAGCACTTAGCAACGACACTGTCACGGAACGCTTCAGACAGCGGAAACATGCAAGAGGAGGAGAGTTTTGTGTCGAAGGTCGTGGATGAGTCTCCTCCGTCATCCATTTTTTATTTAGAGGAGGAAAGCGGGGACCAAGTTGTTGTGGAAGAGGACGCCAGGGCGGCAGAAGCTTGGTTTGGTGTAAAGGCTTACAGCCGTACATGTTTGAGCCCTTGCCTCGCAACGCTGCCAGTTCTGTTAGCTCTACGCCTGCTGAAGACACAGACGTCCATCCCCGTGAACACTGGGACAGAACTCAATAAAGTAAAGTAAAATATTCTTATTATTTCAACCGTTGCGTATATTAGCTGGGACATATGAATCAAGATGCTATGAACAAAGAAATTTGATTGACAGATGACCGTTGACCCAAATTTAGGTGAACAAGCTGACGTATAACTAACTGGCCTGCATAAGATAACGAAAAAAAAAGACAGATTTTAGGACAGGATTTTATTTTTTTTAATAGAAATTTTCTACATTTTGGGTCTGATAAAGTGTACATTTATATACATCTTTAAGCCAGAATGATTTGACATTTAAATATGATTTACGACTTTAAGAGACGGCTGCACGTTTTAGGGCTTTATTATGAAATGATGGTGGACAGATGCAGACAGAGGTGAGTCCGGCTCACCTGATCCGGGGCCAGGCACAGGGTCCACACCGCGCCGCTGTGGGCATCTACTGTTTCCAGCAGGCTTCCTGAAGCCAAGTCAAAGATCTGCAGCTTCCCGCTCTTATATGAGAGGAACATCAGACAGAGAGAAAAAGAGACGTTTAAAAGCTGAACAGTGTTTTCTAAAACTTCCCCTGAGAGCTCAAATACCTTCGCTCCCAGGATTATCTGTCTGTCTCCAGGCACAAACAGAGAGCAGAGGGCGTAATCACACGCCATGGTGCGGACCACCTGCAGGGTTGCCCTGCGACAGAAACACAGATATAAGCTTAGATGAAAAGCTAAACTGCAGGTTCTCCCTCTCTGATCGGCTCAGTCACCTGTTCCAGACTTTCACCGTGTCTCCAGAGGCTGACAGCACAGCCAGGTTGTCGGAGCTGAAGGCCAGCGTGCGCACGTCTGTGCGGTGACCGCCCAGTGTGAGCCGAGCCGTCTTATTGGCTGTCGGGTTCTTGTCGGAGGTCTTCAGGCTGTAGGTTTCTACTGTGTTGTTTTGAAGCAGCAGCGCAAACTTCAGCTCTCCTCCTGCACAAGACAGGACGTCCACCCACCTGAGCGAGGACATGGGGTTAATAATCACCTCCTCCACCATGTTTGGATCTATCGGCTCCTGGCTGACCTGATCTTTGATGAAGCTTTGATGTTCGTTAGCCTGATGATCTCGTCCTTCAGCGTCCTCTCAACCACCGGCTCTGTCTCATCGCCTGCGTCTTCCTGAGCTCTACAGCAGGGGGCAGCAAAGCAGCAGCTTTCAGTGATCTGACTTCTAGTACTAAACAAGTGCTGCACTCAAAAACAACCACAGCTTTAAGATAAATCAAATATAAAGCTGGTATTAGCAGACCAACATATGAGGCTGAAACTCATCATCTCCTGACACCATTAAACTGCCTTCATTTCTGTTGCAATGCATCACTGGACGGTTTAGTGAAGTCCAGCTGATAAAAAAGGTGAGAATATATCAAAGAGAACCAAAAAATCCAAAAAGCGGAACTCCAAGGTTCTAAATTCATAGATTTTCCACCAAAAAAACTAAAAAAATAAGTGACTGGTGCAAGCAATCTATATGTTACTATTATGTCAAAGTACATCCAGGAGTAAAGTAACAGTCGTTGATCAAAAGAAGCATTTTCAGTGATTCAAACAGAACAAATATGTGGATTAGACAACCGGTGCTGTCAGTGTAGATCCAGATATTTTTCTCTGCAGGTTAAAGGTTAACCGTCCATTCCACCTGCTCTTAGCAGCAATGATTTTATGGGATTCTTTATAAATAAGATTGATCTTATTAAAAATAAGATCATAAGCACTCCTCTATCCGCGATTGTACCTGAGGTAGTCATGGAATCTGAACCGGGTTTAGACTGCTTTGATCCAGTTGAACTCTCTGAATTAGCAAAATTATTGTCTTCATCTAAGCCTTCAACTTGTATGTTAGATCCAGTTCCAACCAGGTTATTTAAGGAGGTATTCCCTTTGATCTCCTCCTCCATTTTAGATGTGATTAATCTATCTCTGTTACAGGGATATGTACCTAAAGCTTTTAAGATTGCTGTAATTAAACCTCTGCTTAAGAAACCGTCTCTTGACCCAGATGACTTGGTCAATTATAGACCTATATCCAATCTTCCTTTCTTATCCAAAATTCTTGAGAAAGTAGTTGCCAAACAAGTTTGCGATCACTTCCACCATAATGAACTTTTTGAAGAGTTTCAGTCTGGCTTTAGAGCTCATCATAGCACTGAAACAGCTCTGGTGAAAGTCACTAATGATATTCTCATGGCCTCAGATAATGGACTTGTATCTGTGCTCGTCCTGTTGGATCTTAGTGCTGCATTTGATACAGTTGACCATAATATTCTTTTAGAAAGACTTGAATATTTTGTTGGAATTAAAGGAACAGCACTAGACTGGTTTAAATCTTATCTATCTGATCGAATTCAGTTTGTTCATGTTAATGATAGATCTTCAACACGCTCAAAGGTTACCTGTGGAGTACCACAGGGATCAGTGCTAGGACCAATTCTCTTTACTTTATACATGCTCCCAATTGGTAGAGTTATTAGACAGCATGGGATTAATTTCCACTGTTATGCTGATGATACCCAGCTATATCTGTCTATAAATCCAGATGAAGCTAACCCATTACATAAATTACAGGCATGTCTTGAAGACATAAAAACCTGGATGACTCTTAATTTTCTGCTTCTGAATGCAGACAAAACAGAAGTTATAGTCTTTGGACCAGAGTCTCTGAAAAAGAAACTGATTAGCCAGTCACTTCATTTGGATGGGATTAAACTGATTTCAGATAATAAAGTAAAAAATCTTGGTGTTATTTTTGATCAGGACCTGTCATTTAAATCCCATATCAAAGAGGTTTCTAGAATGTCCTTCTTTCATCTGAGGAACATTGCAAAAATTAGAAATATCCTGTCCAGGGGTGATGCTGAGAAACTAGTCCATGCACTTGTTACTTCAAGGCTGGACTATTGTAATTCTTTACTATCAGGAAGTCCAGAAACTGTAGCTAAAAGCCTTCAGCTGATCCAAAATGCTGCAGCCAGAGTTCTAATGAAAATGAAAAAGAGAGATCATATCTCTCCTATCCTGGCTTCTCTTCATTGGCTTCCTGTTAAATCCAGAATAGAATTTAAAATCCTCCTTCTCACATATAAAGCCTTAAATGGCCAAGCTCCATCTTATATCAGAGATCTGATTGTTCCTTATGTTCCTAACAGAGCACTTCGCTCTCAATCTGCAGGTTTACTAGTGGTTCCTAGAATTTCTAAAAGTAGAATGGGAGGCAGATCTTTTAGTTATCAGGCTCCTCTCCTGTGGAACCAACTACCAGTTTTAGTCCGTGAGGCAGACACCCTGTCTACTTTTAAGGCTAGGCTTAAAACTTTCATTTTTGATAAAGCTTATAGTTAGGGTGGCTCAGGTTATCCTGAGCTATCTCTATAGTTATGCTGCTATAGGCTTAGACTTTTGGAGGACATAGGGACCCCCATTTCATCATTCTGCTTCATTCTCTCTCTGTTCTCCTATTCTGCAGAATCTGTTAGTTCAATCTCTAACCTTCTGCTCTCTCTGCTTTTCCTCAGAGTAGCTTTGCCTCGTCTGTTCCTGTTTGGCTGTGACGTCATCCTGGAAAAAAACATCAGCTGTGCTGCTTCTATCAACACCCTTGTTAATAGATGTTGGAGATCGGCCTGTTTTCCAGTGTGGTCCTGTTTCTCTGACCGTGACTGAGTGGATGTGCTCTCTTCGTCCTCTGGCATGGGAGCTGCCTTGGAGCTCGTCTGCCTGGCTGTGTGTTTCCTGGACGGGGCCGCCTTTTACAGCTGCTTTTTGTATCTCTGCTTCTGTCTCCTTGAACCCCAGTCGGCCTCGGCAGATGGCCGCTCACACTGAGCCTGGTTCTGCTGGAGGTTTCTTCCTGTTAAAAGGGAGTTTTTCCTCTCCACTGTTGCTACAAGCATGCTTAGTGTGGGGGATTGTATTTGAGTCAATGAGTCAATGCAATCAACTGGTTTTCCTTAGATAGAAAACTTTGTATCAATTTGACTGTATGATCTGGTGAACTGTAAAGATCCTTGAGATGACGTGTGTTGTGAATTTGGCGCTATATAAATAAACTGAATTGAATTGAATTGAAAGGAAAAGTCCCGTCACATTCAGAATTCAAACTTCTAAAAGTACTTTAAGTATGAAATTATTACATACTTTTCAATAAAAAAGTGTTTTTAATTAAGAGTAATTTTAATTTCAATGTGCTTTACTGGAGGCGTCCATGTTTGTCAAAGAACACTACTGCCACCTACTGGTTTGTGACGTCACGGTGCGGTATCGGCTGTTGAGCAAGTCCCAGTACTGTATCTGGTGTTTGTCACAACGCGCCATTATCCAAGTCATCTTGAAAACATTCTTCTTCCAAAAGTTGGCAACATATTTCCGTATTTTCACGACCATAAGGCGCACCGTACTAAAAGGCGCACTCTCAGTTATGTGTCCCATTTCTGTATTTAACACACACATAAGGCGCACCGGACTATATGGCGCGTTTTTTATATACAGGTACAAGTCCTCTACTACCTTTAAATACCTCTACTGCGTATTTAAAAATACAGCGGGCCCAAAACTGAGTATCACTGTGCTTTATTCATGTATTTATTACAAAGTATTAATCAAACCTGGGTGCTGGCCGTGAGTCAGACACATCGCAGATGACACAGCGCTGTGATCACTCCTAAATTAACTTAAAATCCTGAAACCTGCCGACGGAATATGTTCGCTTTTATTACCGGTATCCTGGTGCCTGCAGTTTAAATTATTTAGATGAAAAACACCTGCCAGCCACCGAGGTGAACCCCGCAGGCTGCCCAGCCTAGAGGCTGCTGTTGAAGGGATTTCAACTGTCGGTGCACCGCTGGTATGTGGGGGTCTGAGCGCCTCCGACAGAAATAGATAATCTGGATGAACTGACTGCAATTATGAAGTTTTCAGGTGGACTTTCTCACTTAAAAACATATTAAAACTACTTTATTCCCACTGATCACAGCAAATATAGCTGCAAGATTTAGATTATTTAGATGAAAAACACCTGCCAGCCACCGCGGTGAAGAGGAGGAGACCCGCCCAGAGGCTGCTGTTGAATTAAGTTTTCAGGTAGAAAAATAGAGCGGGAGCAAAACTGAGTATGATTGTGCTTTATTCAAGTATTTATTACAAAGTATTAATCAAACCCATCAAAGTCATCATCCTCTGTTTCTGAATTAAACAGCTGCGCTAAATCAGACATGCCAATTTCCCCTTCTTGGCTGTCAGTCACTTTCCGTGCAGCGCGGCTCCTCAGAAATAATGCCGGCTTTTGCAAAAGCTTGAACAACAGAGCCAGCAGACACGTTAGTCCAAGCATCTACAATCCATCCGCAAACGGTGGCGTAACTTGCCCGGCGCTGCCTTCCACTTATCCTGAAACTGTGGTCTCCGTCTGTCATCCATCGCTCCCACGCCGCTCGCAGCCTTACTGTGAACGGCCGGTTCACACTGATGTCGAGCGGTGGAAGTTCCTTTGTCAGACCCCCCGGGATAACGGCGAGCACAGCGTTCATTTGATTCACCATGTTTTTCTCATCGGCTGTGAGATGGGCACGCAGCAATGGTGATAAGTGGAAAAAAACACCTGTTCTCCTCACATACACCTGCCTCAGCCACGCTTTCATCATCTCCTCATCCATCCAGCCTTTTTCATTTGCCTTAATATCATATGTCATCAGAGCGATGTGTCTGTCTCGCTGTCAGCTCCCAGATCAGCTTCTCTGATTGGTTGATGCGGCGCGTCCAGCAGCAAAACTTCAATTTTTCCATCTCGAGCAGCAGCAGCGCGTTGGCGGTGCGTCAGATGCTTAAACGCTCCCGACGCACTGCACCTGCTGCTCAAAACGCGCTGCGGGACCTTTTGCTGCACCTATACGCGCGTCAACCATTGACTTTGCATGTAAACTCGCTGCTTCTGCTGCACCTGCTGGGTCCGGTTCACACCGATGTCGAGCGGTTGAACAGCGAGCACAGGGTTAATTTGTTTCCCCATGTTTTTCACATCAGCTGTGAGATGGGCACGCATGGAGTTACATATTAACAGCGATGGTGATGAGTAGAAAAAAAACACCTGGTCTCCTTACATTCAGCCACTCTTTCATCATCTCCTCAATGAGGTGGTCCCAAAAGTCGCAGTTACAACACACATAAGGCGCAACGCACCAAAGGGCGCACCGCACATTTTGAGGAAAAAAAAAAGACGTTTAAGTGCGCCTTATAGTCGTGAAAATACGGTACGTGTTTTTTCCTCTGGCCAGAAGTTTGATGGCAAATCCTCCCTCTTCAAGTTGGCAATCCAACAACAAACCCGTCCATGGGGGATCATGATTCAGAAAGGTGAAATAACTCTTTTTTTTTTTCACTTTTACCTGATGTATTATAACATCCAACTGCCATGCCAGTGCGCATTTTTACTTTAACTATAGCTCTCACAAATTTAAATAGTGAAATCCTCTGGAAATCTTAAATAATTGTTGTTGATTGCTTGGATGTCTAGTAGTTCCCATTGATTTTGCTTGTAAAGCGGGAAGAATGGCGCTAGGCTTACCGCACCGTGACGTCACTGCTGGAAGTTTTCAGGAGTGAGGTGTTACTATATGTCTGCAAAACAAAAATGGCTGCTCCCAGACTCAGAGATCACAAGAAACATTTATACCTTTTATTTCTTTACTGTTTAACTCTAAATTCATTAAATCCCTGCAAGCGTATTAGTTTTAGGTATAAATAATGACCCATTGGTTATTTCTTGCTGACTTTTCCATTAAAGCTACAGTGTGTAATTTTCAGCAACATCTAACGTCCGGACTGCAGACCGCAGCAACATGAACATCTCCCCGCCACCGCTTCTCCCCCCCAACAGTACGGCGAGCGTTACAGGACAAAATGTCTTCCACGACGTCCGCATCACCTACCTTCTCAAGTGATGAGGTTTGTTTACATAGATAATTTTACAGATAGTATTTCATTTGTCTTTGTGTTCAGTACCGTCTCAGTTCATCTCTCTCAACTTGCCGTAGTTACTTTCGAGCGTAATGGGCGATCTCGCAATCGCTAGTTTGTTGGCTATACAGTATAAACAGTGCGTCCACATATGACAGCTTTTTTTTTTAACTTTATGACACACCTGAAACTATTCTGAACAAAGTTTGTTTAAAACCAATTTGAATGCTTGCTTTCTGTTCTCAGGTTACTGAGCGACACGGTTTCTATTCTGACCGAACTCAACACAAGCCTGTCTGTCAGGTTTTAATGACAAGGAAACGAAACAAATTGCATAAAAACAACAACAAAACAGAATGACTAAGCACCAGGATGTCAATCACTTTTACCTAAACTTAGCTTTCCTTTCTGTCTTTAGAAATTTACAATGAATTAGGGCTGCAAATAATGATTATTTTGCAAAGAGATTCGGCTGTCTAGGTTTTTTTTCGATTAATCGTTTTAATAATGGGATAGCCAAAGGTGGAGGAGTTCTGGATAGAGCATATTGACAGACATTTTTTTTTATCTTAAAAGCTCTTTTTACTCCAGTTAACGATTAATCGATTACTAAATTAGTTGACGTTTATTTCAATAAACGATTAATCTCAATTAATACTATGAATCCAACTGTTTGGAAAAATGGTTTGCCAACATGGAAATGGGGACTTTCTTCTGTTACAGTAAGAACTGAACTAACTTTAACACTTTTATTCAGAAAGAAAAAACTAAATGTCATAAGCACAGTTGAAGAAAATCCTCTAATCAAATCCAAAACATGATGCCAGACTATACAACACTGCCTCCTGCTGGGGGAAACAACATCTGCGACTGAGGTAAGATAGGATCTAAGTATACAAAGAGTTCTCCTCAATTCCAAGATTCTGTGATCGTCTCTTACATGAAATTCAGATAAAATAAAAATTGAGGTTTGTCGATGTTGGATGAGTTTGAGTTTGTGTGCACTGCAAAAATTTAAATCTAAGTATTTTTGCTTAAAGCTACAGTGTGTAATTTTCAGCGACATCTAACGTCCAGACTGCAGACCGCAGCAACATGAACATCTCCCCCCCACCGCTTCTCCCCCCCAACAGTACGGCGAGCGTTACGGGACAAAATGTCTTCCACGACGTCCGCATCACCTACCTTCTCAAGTGATGAGGTTTGTTTACATAGATAATTTTACAGATAGTATTTCATTAGTCTGTGTGTTCAGTACCGTCTCAGTTCATTTCTCTCAACTTGCCGTAGTTAACTTCAAGCGTAATGGGCGATCTCGCAATCACTAGTTTGTTGGCTCTGCGCTGCCGTAGCGCAAAGATGTCTGCCTCCATGGCTGCGAGACCCGCTCCTATGTAATTATAAATAACGAATTCTAAGGCAACGCAAATATTAAGGTTAAGAGGCTGAGCTCGTAGATGATGATAAATAACATAGTTATGTATAATATATTACATTTCTGACAGTATATACCTGTAATTATTACACACTGTAGCTTTAAAGCACTGAACTGAGGGGCTATGAATCAGTCGCAGACATGCAAACAAAAGAGGTTCTCTCACTGATCCTAAATCTGCATAGAATAGGTTGGATAATATAAATTACATTTAAATTTTAAATTTACAACAAATTCACTGCATCTTGTTCCCCAGATTTGGTTAAACTAAACACAATGAATTCACCAGCAACATCTGGTGAAGTTCCATCAAAGTTAGAAGAGTTAAAAAACAAACCACTGGACTTTTTTTTCCGAAGCATGAAGATGTTTCGCTTCCCATCCAGGAAGCTTTTTCAATTCAAAATGTCTGAAAAATCTGGTGAAGTTATTAATTATTACATCGATGATAAATGTAGAATAACCTAGAATTAATTAGTTAAATTGCTAATTATTTTTACTTAAATTTTTTTTCTCGTACAGTATAGAAATTAAACCAACCACTATTTTATATAAATTACTGGAGGAAAACAAAAATCCACATAGGTTTAAATTAAAGTAGCATTAATTCATCTAATCATCAGTTGAATAGAAAAGCAGAAATCTGACCAATTTAGACCTTTATTTATTTATCATGGAAATTTCTCTGCAATTGTTGCTCCAGATGCTTGTTTGTTCCAGATGATATAATCAAGTTAAATCAAAGTTGGGAAAGAACCTCGTAAATATTCTAATAGAAATAGAAATACTTTGAAACCACGGGACTGCTAAGACCGATGGAGGCGAAACATCATCAGCCAACGGTTGACGACCCTCGCTGAATATTTGCTGCGTTCCGTGTGACGGATGAGAAAAGGTCTTGATCTAAACGCTTCCCGCTGAATATTTCAGACAGCGATCAGACAGATCCCAGCCGGTATGTAGAGAAAGCTGTGAATCATCTATGATCAATCCGTCTGCAGGTGCTCCACATGGCTGCGTTCTTTCACCACTGCTGTTCACCCTTTCTACCAATGATTTGTAGCATTTAAATTCACATATTTCTACCATTATTTATCGTCTGAACTGATCAGAATTATCACAGAGCTGAGCTCTGAAGAAAAATCCTCCTCCATCCATCATTATCAACACTAACATCAAAAGTTTTCAGTCACACGTTGTCTAAGATTTACATTTACTGAGATTATAGAAAGCGCTGACCTGACAATGAAAGTAGACTTCCTGTTAACTTTTCTAAGAAACTATTCAGATGTTTCGTTCTTACTTTGCTGCCTTTTTCTTGGCTTTCTTCAGCTTCTTGGTCATTTTTTTCTGCACTTCCTGTTCCGTCAGCACGGTGAACACTTCTAGTACTGCATCATTCCCCTGAACCAGTTGAGAAAGAAGTGTTATTCATTTGACACAGACAATATAAATCATAAATACCTTAAAATTCAGCTTTTCTAGATATTTAACAGATAAAAATTCCAGAATTTTCCAGATTTCGCTTATTAAAACTACAGACTAATATCACTTTAGCTGGCAGAAGAGGGAGAGAAGGTATGGAGGGAATTTTCTGCCAAAACCTTGCATACAAAAAAGCATGTTTCACAAACAAATCTTATAAAAATTGTGTTGCAAACTCTCCTCAAGTGTCGCACACAAATTAAACTTGTTTTTCAAACCATCCTTAAATGTTGCAATCAAAATATAATTTATAGAGAGAAATTATAAGTCAATATAAAACACAAATATAGATTTAATTACTCAGTTTGACAAAGGATAAAGTAATATTCCTGCTGCAAACAATGAGATTTTTTTAAGGAACATTTTGAAACAAACATAAACGTTGACTTTCAGAGAAAGGAGTAGTCACTGCTGTCAGCTTGCTGTTATGAAGCAAACGTTTGTTTTCTTTTTTAATCAATATCACTGCCGATATTCTGCTATAACAGAAGGGAAGAATAAAATAACGGCGCTCATCTTTAATAAAAATATCTGAAGTTTCACATTTAGTAGGTTGGAAATGAGGTGGAATGATCTCTATCAGCTCTCTCTACTCATGCGCGCTCCAGCGAGGGGATTCAAATTGTCGCAGGCATAACTACCTTCACACAGACACGTTTTAGTCGTTCTGATTGGATGGCGCCTCCTGCTGTCGGTCAGTCAGGATGACAATTCTTCACTTATCATGTGACTTTTGGCAGAAATTTGCCGTGGAGTGTAAAGAATTGTCTCGTATGCGAGGAGAGGCTGTTTTCTATGCGAGCAGAGATCATTTTGTACTCGGGGACAATTTATAAATTATACTTTGAGTGCAACATTAGAGTCCGGCTTGTTAAACTAACTTTTTTATGTGTGCTACATTTAAGGACAGTTTGAAAAACAAGTTTCATTTGTGAGTTTGTAACACAAGTTTTATTTGGGAACAATAAGATTTGTTTGTGTGCAACATGCTTTATGTGTGGGCGCAACATGCAATGTTTTGGCAGAAATTTCACTCCATAAGAAGGATGGATGCAAGGAGAGGTCACAAGGAGGGATAATGGTTCATGGGTAAGAGATTGAGAGAAAAGAAGAAAGCACCGAAGAAAGAAGTGGAGGTATGAAAGAGAAGGAAGGCTGGAGTTAAATAAAGGAGGATAGGCTCAATGAGGAAAGGAGAAGAGGATACAAGAGTAGGAAGAAGGAAAGGAGGCGATGTCTGATCATACCAAGATTCTTTTTTGCCCCTTTTTTTTATATGGTGCCAGAACTCCAAAAAGGTCTGAATATTCAGTGACTTTAGAATAAAAATCTTTATTAGGTTTAGTTTTGGATTCCTTGTATGCTATGTTGTGTTTATCTTTGGCAAAAACAGGATATTATTATTATTATTTAAAACAGTTCATTTAACTGGGATTTAAGTGTTTTCCAGTTAAAAACTGCTTTTCTTGACCAGAGGCAGCTGATTTTTCCCTCCTCTCTCTCAAAACACTTTCTTGATTTTTAGTAAAGAAAAATTGAAGCATAAAAAAACAAACAACAAATGAAATAAAATCTTAGGCAAATAAAGTTAAATGTTTAAAAGTTTCCAAAGCAACTGAAAGAAAAAAACGTGTCCTCTTTATTATTTAACGGCTTGTAATTATTCTTTGAGTATTTAAACAGAGGGCAGCAGCGTGACGGCATCCTGTGATCTGCTCAAAGCTAGGAACATTTTATTTGATAGAGCAGCGTGGTTAATAGTGGAAAAAAGAACAGGGTGTCTCCTTTAAGAAAAAACAAACAGCTGAAAGAGACTGGGCTCACATGGCAGGCGATCACTCTGGCCTTGGTGTCTGCGGTCAGGGAGACCACCCGATCTCTGGCTTCTCTCAGGATGGAGCCGGCCTTCTTGCAGCTCAGGATGCGCTGAAGAGCAGAAAGTGACCTGGTTACGCCACCACTCAGAGCGCCGACTGTCCTTAGCTACACACTTTAAACACCTCTGTACCTCTTCCAGGGTCTCCTCCTCGCTTTCATCATCAGCTCCATCGTTTTCCTCCAGCAGAGATTTTTCCTTCTTCACTTTGGGTTCACCTTCAGCTTTTTTCTGTTCAGGATGCAGAGCGTCAGACAGAAAGAAATGAACAAAGAGAGATGAACTAATGGGCTCGGAAACGCTGCCCTTTAAGAGGAGAACGGATCAGAACCACCAGTTCTGAGAAATTATCCAATGTTTTTGCTTCTGATCTATTCCTTATGTCCTTTCCCCCCAAGCTGCGTTCATCCTCACCTCCTCCAGGTAGCTGATGTCCCAGGCGCGGAGCTCGCTGTCAGCTGATCCGGTCAGAAGCCGGTTCTCCTGGTCCAACAGAGCCATTCCCCACACCTGAAAGAGAGCCGGCCTCTTTAGAGTCATCACAGCTTTATTTGACCCCAGTTTGCTGCAAAAGGAGGAACCAGGATTCCTGCTGATGGCAAAACTACGCTAAACCAATCAGATCCTCTGAGCAGGAGTCAAACTGAGTAACTTTTGACTGGATTAATAAGAAGTCGCCTCAGTGGTCTAAATGATTGAATCATTCTAAATGCTGCACAGTGAAAAGCAATTAAGCTCCTAAAGGCAATGCTTTATGCAGAGCTGAAAGTCATCGTTCTGTCAATATCAGAAAAGAAAATGTACCTTCTTTTTAGAGGAAATGTTAAATGCCTTGTTGCTGTATATACCCATCTTTCCTACCATCAAATTGAGGACCAGTTGTTGTAAAGTGAGGACATTTTGCTGGTCCTCACATGCTATTTATCTAATGGTTAGGTCTAGGGTTAGGGTGTCAGTTGGGTTGGGGTGAGATATTCATTGATAATGCTTAGGTTTAGGACATAGAAAGGTTTGAAAATGACTGAAAATCAATGGAAGTCAAAACATGGTCCTCACCACAATAGAAAAACAAGTATGGGTGTGTGGGTGTCGCTCTTATATTCATATTTATTCAAAAACTGAGGGGGAGAAAAGAGTTTTAAATTGAAAAGATGCTTTATTTTGTTGATTATATGTTTTCTGATTAACAAGTGATTAATTTAAATTAGTTAATTACAGACCCTGCAATTAACTCGATTAAATATTTTAACCTCGTGTAACTTTTGGCCACCAGGAGGTGCTAGACTGGTAATTTTCTGAATTTTCTGAAGGGCAGAGGCAACTAGAGCTGTTAAAACTATCGTTTTCCACTAAAGATCAATTTCTACAAGTAAACATTTGTTATGTATTCTCCGTTGTCCTATGATAAAATATGATGGTTAACTACACATTCATAATTCAAGTAAAAACTATGGGGCCAAAATGGTAGCTTTAATATTTGCAGGTCAGGGCAGCATGTGAGCCTGCGAGCCTGCGCAAGGGGTTACAAATCGCGAAAATACACATACAAATCCTTCTACGCATTTGTGCATCTCACGCGGCAGAAGAGTAGCAAAAATCACGTGTGTAAAGAGAGCCAACCGAAAAACCGCTTGACTTGTAACCAATGATTTGTCTGTATTTCTGGGTCTTGAAGCGAAAATACTTCAGACACAAGTGTCTCTGTGTGTGCTTACAGATTGATCTACACATTTGCAGATCTGAATACAGATTTGTGGATTTTTTACACATTTGCAAAACGGATTACACACAAGTAGTTTTACACATTTGCAGATTGTTGTACAGACACACAAATCTCCTCACACATTTACAGATTTATTTACACATTTTCAAATCCCACTGCACACACACAAATCGAGATACAGACACACAACTCTCCACACACATTTGCAAATATTGAAGCTACCATTTTGGCCCCATAAAAAACTGAAAAATTATTAGAATGCCAGCGATCTAATTATAGATTGAAACCAGGTCAAAAAGAATCGAGTCGGTATCCTGAGAATCAGAATCGAATGAATTCTGTCATTTGAATGGATAGGAAGCCCTACAGTCACTAAATTAAACCGTTTCCCTCTGTGTGTTAGAATCTGATAGCAGACCAATTTAGACGGAGAAGTCATGGAGTTAGTGGCAAATTCAAAACCACTATCACCCAGTAGATTAAATAAGGTTCAGGTCTGGTTTGTTGGCAAACAACAGCTTTTGGTCGAGTTAGCTCTGATGAGGAACTCAGAGTTGCGTTAGAGACACACTGGAAAAACTATCAGAAATAAGTAAAAATGTCTTAAATTAAGTGTATTTACCCTTTATTTGAGCAGGTAAATTAGATAATTTGCCAATGGAATGAGTATTTTTAGTCTTGAAATAAGATAATTAGATAACATGCACATGAAATAATACAATGAAATAGTTTTTTTCTTATTTTAAGTGTAAATTGCTGATTCCTTTGTCAAAGTGTCTCTTTTACTTCCTCAAACAAAGAACAAATCCACTTATTTTAAGAAAAAATGACTAGATAACTTTTATCTCATTTTATGACATAATCTATAGTAAAGATTTAGATTTCCATTTTTCCAGTGTGGTTTGTATTAGTGTTTTTTTTTTTCTTGTTATGTACAAGCGGAGATTTATTAGAGCATTCAGCAGCTCAGCTTTGAGATCATTTCGATTTCAACATAGTGTTGTTAATGTATGACAACTTCCAAAACCATATTTCTCTTAGGAAGTTAAGCCCTTAAAGTCTCTAAACTGTGAACCGATAAAAGGTACTTCCTCCTTTTCTAAGTGGATCCCTATTAATGCTGCTCTGTGTGCAGCGCAGGAAGCTCTCACCTCACTGCGGTGTCCCACCATGGTCTTGAAGCAGTGCTGGGTGTCCAGATCCCACCACTTCACAAACGTGTCCTTAGAGCTGAACAGCAGAAACACAAAAGGTTACGACTGCCTCAACATGATTTATAATTTCCTCTCATCGTTTAAATTTACACTAAACAGAAGTTAGAACAGATACTGTTGGACATCGATGCCATTCAATCGAACGCTGATGAGATTTTCTACTGGAGTCTGTTCTGGAGATAAAATTCCTGCTTGTTTTTGATCTTTCAAGAACTTACTTTATTATAGATTATGTCATAAAATGTTTTATTTTACAGAATCCCTGTAAAATAAATGCTACTTTTTTAGGTCTCTAAAGCCGCTGTCACACCTTGACGATTTAGTGCAACGAATGCCTGACGTACGAAACATCTAGCATAAACGCTGGCATATGTTGGATAAGTTACGGGTACGCTGAAGCACGCTAGAACACGCTGACGTACGGCAAGAAATTTTTAACATGATTAAAATTTCTCAACGTATGCCAGCATATGCTCCTGCGTGGGGAATAAGTTACAGGTGATTCAATTGTTGACACATGTTAAGTGTAAGTTAACCATAAGTCATTGCGTCTAGCTCATCCAAAATTCATGGTAACTTCTGCATAACTTAGGCGTAGCTTATAAAGAACTTCTCTCCAACTCATCAACAGAATTGACGTGTTCCAGACGAGCGCTGAACGCGTTTCTAACGTACAGCTACTGTATAATGGTGTATTGGCAGCGTTTTGGTATAAAAGGGGTTCACAGGAGAAAACCATCGGTTCTCCTCCAGACTTCAGACGTTCCACTAGATGAAGGATCCAGCAAGGCTGAGATGGGAATACATACTAGCTGTCCTCCAACATCAGCAGGATCTCATCAATTTGACTCTGTTCCAGTTATAGGTTGAGAGTGAAGGTGAGTCTGATGGATCCTCCCTGCGTTTACGCCCACGGCCAACAAACTTCCTAACAGACACGCCGCTGAATCTGCTGCAACTGCAAACCTTTTCTTTCTTTTTCCTTTTTTTATTTTATTATTTATTTATGCCATTTTTTTTTGGGGGGGGGGGGGGGGGTTAAACAGCAGCAAGGTTAATACTGTGATCAAAGACATCTTTATATGCAGGATACTGGCTTGTGACATTTCATGGGCATTACGCTGCTGTGCGTTACATATAAGTGAGGCTGTCATTGGCTTGTCATACGCTCTGGACTCAGTATGAATTCTCTATAGCCCCATTTACACTACCCGTGAAAAACCGATCCATGCCGACACCGGTCCGAGCTCGGATCTGTTAACCAGGCCGAGCTCGGTTCTGGCGACCGTTTACATGTCACACTATCTCGGTTCCTCGCCTCCTAGTGACGATCTGCGGTATTACTGCCGGTATTGAAGGAGGAAATCAAGCAGTTGGTGGCGGTAATGCACCAAAAGTTGTTTGCCAACCGCCATAAAACACAAGAAGAAGAAGGCGAAGAAGGAGGGAATCAAGCAAATCCCGTCACTTTCAGAAAGTTATACTTGATTATTATTGCTGTACTTCGGTGTTATTATTTAAAATGTTGCGTGAAGAAGATTTTGATTGTTGTTTATAGTTGAAGAAGAAGTTGTTCTTCTTCTTCTGTTTCTGGAGGGGCATTACCGCCAACTACTGGAATGGAGTGTGAATCGGGATGTGCAGCCAGACGGAGATGACGCGTTCTACTCATGCTCTCTTGTTATCAAAGAACCGAGCCAGGGAAAAGCCGAGCCGAGCCCACCTCTGGAACTGGTCTGCAGTTAGCGCGGTCCGGTCGTGTCTAGCTCGGTTCAGTTCAGTTTGCTTTGCTTTTACACACGATAAGTTATCTCAGTTACTGAGCTCGGACCGGTCTAGGCACGGTTTTTCAAGGGTAGTGTAAATGGGGTATATGTATGCTCCCAAACTTGATAAATACATAGAAAGTTCAGCCTATGGCAGCGTTTTAGAAGATTCTGGGACATCAGGCAAACGCTGGCTAAATCGTCAAGGTGTGACAGGAGCTTAAAAGGCTCAGAGCTCCTTAGATTTTATATGCAAACAGTGAGAAAGGAGGCGACGGCTGATCAGGTTCAAGGCTGCCGACCTTGTGACCAGGAGGTTCTTGTCTTTAAGGAACAAGGCCTGTGTGATGAGATCCTTGTGTCCCCTCAGCCTGTACAGTCCACACTCATTGATGATGTCCCACACAATCACATCTGTGTCCTGAAAAGAGAGAAAAGCTGCAGCTAATCAAGAAGAAAGAAAATGCACAGAAGAAAAAAACCTCTCAGTAACGTGGCCCTAAAACTCTCCATCAGTGAAAAACGGTTTTCTCAAAGAGTTTTCTTCCCTTCTGAACTTTTGCCTCGTTACAAACTTTCATCTGGGATTTGTGTAACAGGCCGACACACACAGGTGTGACTGTGAGGAAGTGAGACCGTATTCAGCTTCTAGAATAAACCAAGTGCAGCTTAAATGACGTGATGCCAAAACACAGAAAACAACAAACTCAGGGCAGTTTTAATGGGGAGACAGTGAAGCAGGACTTTACCTTTTAATGAAAGATTTCACCTGATTGAGGCATAGAAGGGCAGAGAGTTTCTATATTAGAGGAGGAATATTAATGGAAACAAACATGGCGCCTGGGAGTGAAGTTTTGTGCTTTTACAATTACGAAAAAAGGTGAGTAAATCCAGCCCATGGCAGCGAGATATTTTATTACCATAAACCTTCATAATGAATTAAGCAACAACAGATTTTCTCTGAGCTAAAATCAAGCAAACAATATTTGAAAAAAAAAAAAAAAACATTTTTGAGGTAATGTTTGTAACATCCTGCAGCCCCAAAACCTCCAGCTTTGTTTCTAACTGTTGAGCTGTTCGTACCGTCAGCTTTCTGTTCTTCTTTTACATCTTTAGAAGCAAAGTGAACCGTCTTTCTTCCTCTGAATATTTCAGTAATGTGTCTGTTAGCTGAATGTTTCCCACTGACAACATTTAGCATTTCATTCAGGGTTTATACAGAAAAGAGGGACTCTAATTTAATGCTTTTTAAGTCTGTCTGTCTGTCTAGAACACAATTTCAGAACGATACCTTAGAGCCGGTGACGAGCCGCGCTCCGAGCGCGTCGTAGCTCATTACTGTGACCCCAGACTTGTGTCCGTTGAAGGAGACGTTGCTCTCCCCGCTCAGCAGGTTGAAGATCCGCACCACGCCGTCCTCGTAACCCACAGCGATGTGAACAGCGTCTGGAGAAGGACAGAGGAAGCTCACCTCGTGCTTCTGTCCCTGCAGGATCAGGACCTGGACAGAGAGAGGCTGCTGGTCACTGAGCTGCCACGACGTTTTACTCAAAATCTCACCAGAATCTGCCCATAAAAGCCCCACCTTCTCTCCTTTTCGGACATCCCAGATGAAGACGTGTTCGCATGCGGCCACAGCCACGTAGCGGCCCTTTTCCCCGCCTCGAAGCGTGACGTATGTGATGTTGGCCCGCTGGCTGCCGATGACGCCGAACACGGCGCTGGCGGCGTAGCGTAGGTACTGCTTGGTCAAACCCATGACCGGCGGCCTGAGACGGTGTTCGATCCTGCAGCAAATAAAACATTTTACAGTCAGAAGCCAGGAATGCTATGAATGCTAGTTTCATCAGATGGCAAACAGTTAGCTGGAAAGCAGGTCATTGTGTTGAAATCTATTCTTAAGATTTTATTGAACTGGACTGAGTATATAAATACAGTAGCAGCCATTAAAAATCACCCTTCCCAGTCTAACGCCTGCAGAATGGCAGCCTACTCCCCTGCGACTCTCAGCCACTGGCCTCCTCCATCATATATTATTTATTTAGAGGAGGAAAGCGGGGATGAGGCTGTTGTGGAAGAGGACGCCAGGGCGGTAGAAGCTTGGTTTGGTGTAGAAGGCTTACAGCTGTACATGTTTGAGCCCTTGCCTCGCAACGCTGCCCGTTCTGTTAGCTCTACGCCTGAAGATGAAGACACAGACGTCCATCCCCATGTTCACTGGGATGGAACTCAATGGGAAAGTAAATGATTGTTATTTCTTATTTAAACCGTTGCGTATATTAGCTGCGACATGAATCAATGACTTAAACATTTGATTGACAGATGACCGTTGACATGTGATTGGCCGAATTTAGGTGTTCAGGCTGACGTATAACTAACTGGCCTACATAGGATAACGAGAAAAAAAAACAGATTTTAAGACAGGATTCTTTTTAAATAGAAATTTTTTAACTTTAGGGACAATATGGTCTGATAAAAAGATTTATTTTAAACATTTATATACATGTTTAAGCCAGAATGATTTGACATTTAAATATGATTTTCCTGTGACTTTAAGTATTTTGATTTCTGCCAATTTTTCTTTTTTTATAGTGCATTGATTCATTGGTGCATTCAGCTTTCATCAAGAACATGCATGGTTCCTTTCATTCGCTATCGATTGCTAATATATTTATTAAAAAATATATTTTTGTTTGCATTATGCAGTCTCTATCGTGTTATTTGCATCGTTGACATGGAGGAAGAAAGAAGAATATCAGCTTAAAATATATGCAAATAGATAGCCCTGTGACAAAGAAAAGAGGGGTTGAAAATATTTTACAATTTATACATTCTCTGAATTTGTCTTTTATATTCATTTCTATTAAATCTTAAATGCAAACCATGTTGGTGGCAGCGTGATGCTCTGGACCAGTTGGGAAACTCAAATTGGGCTTGAAAACGTTTAAAGGGAAAGCAGTTTAGTGAAGCCCTGGAACGTGATTTTAACATTAAGCAAAACTCATTAAAAATATCTACAATGTATAAACAGCAACGTAATTCTCACCAAAAGGTAAACTAACAGACGTGGTTTGTTACACAGGACACGCCGTGAGGGTGGAGTTGAGTAGTTTCCGCCGTTGAACGAACCCTAAGCTCCTTAAAGTCCGCTCGGGCAGATTATGAGAGTTTGACAAATCGAGCGCACCTTCACGCAGCAGCCTGCGCCCAGGGCACACGTGGTGCTGCTCTCGCTTATATACGCTTTTAAAAATCGAAACAAACTCCTAATAATGTATATTAATGCTTCAGACAACGCTGAGATATCAGTTACTATGAAGGTGTGTTTGAGCAAAGGTTGTTTTTCAGCTTACCTCTGAAATGCGGCTCAGAGCTGCCTGCTTGTTTTCTTCCTCCGGCCGCTGATTCTGAATCAGACCTGACTAATCTATCGCAGATCGATTAAAAAAAACATCTATAATTTTTTTTACCTCTTAAACTATATGAAATATATTGCAACACATATGAGATTATTTTTTTATATTTATAGCTATATTATATTTGTACATATAATGTATCATTTATTCTAATTATATTATTATTCTCGTTTAAGATCAATCGTTTGCTTCTGTCTGCAATATCAGAACACAATTCATGACGTTGCTGTTCTCAGAAAATTAAGCGGATATTCATTTAATGCAACTTTTTGTAGATTTTTTTTTATTTGTAAGTATTTTTTAGCCTAAAGTTCGAAGTTAAGTGGTTTTAAAAGATGAGTTTCACCACGAAAGTCCCGAAACGACCACAGCGGAAGTGGTTGTGTCAATCAGTCAGCTGATTAAAGCAGGCGGAGCAATGAGTCAAGTGCTCGTGACGAAGATCATGCAAAAACACCGGAAGCTTGTTTGTAAGATTGACAAAATAAAAGCAAAAAAACAAAAAATATTTTAGATTACCAACGTCTGCAATGGCCTGTTTTTTTCTCTTTTTTTGTTTGTTTGTTTTTTTCTTTCGGGGATTATAGCTGCAGAACAAAACAGAAAAGAAACACGTCCTTCATGCTATTTCTATGGATCAAAATCGTTAAATAAGAAAAGGCCAGACTTTTCTTATTTTCTTATATATGCAGGTGAAGGCCCCCATCGTGTCCTGGATTGTTGATTGCCTGACGGGCAGACCACAGCATGTATGCCTACAGAACTGTGTGTCTGACAGGGTGGTCAGCAACACTGGGGCCCCTCAGGGGACTGTCCTATGCCCCTTCCTCTTCACCCTTATCACCTCAGACTTCAACTATTGCTCTGAGTCCTGCCACCTTCAGAAGTTTTCTGATGACTCAGCATTTGTTGGCTGCATTGAAAAGGGTGAGGAGAGTGAATATAGGAGTGTGGTGGGCAACTTTGTCACTTGGAGTTAGCTGAACCACCTATAGCTCAATGTGACAAAGACTAAGGAGCTCATAGCGGATCTGAGGATTACAAAAACAACTGTGACCCCTGTTTCCATCCAGGGGGTTCCTGTTGACACTGTGGAGGAGTATAAGTACCCGGGAGTGTACTTTAACAATAAGTTAGACTGGACTAGAAACACCGAAGCGGTCTACAAAAAGGACCAAAGCCGACTATTCTTCCTGAGGAGGCTGAAGTCCTTTAACATCTGTGGGGCGATGCTGAGGATGTTTTATGAGTCAAATGTTGCTAGCATGCTCTTCTTTGCTGTCACATGCTGGGGCAGTGGGCTGAGGGTCGCTGACAACAACAGACTGAACAAACTGATCAGGAGGGCCGGTAATGTTGTGGGGGAGGAACTGGACACCCTGACCCTGGCAGAGAGGAGGATGCTGTCCAGGTTTCAGTCCATCTTAGACAATGACTCACATCCTCTCCATGACACACTGGTCCAGTAGACGAGTTCCTTCAGCAGAAGACTTCTCTTGAAGGAAATAATTCCTACCTGTGGTCATCAATCTCTATAACGCCTCCCTCAAGTGATTCAGACGCCCCCTCCCCCCTCTGTAATTGACATTTATCCATTCCTTGCACTATTTTTGTACGTCGCTATCACTTAGCTATACAGATGCATATATATATATACATATTTTTATATATATAAAACTGTATCTGGAGCGTGTAATAAAAGTAATTTTCCTCTGGGATTTTTAAAGTATTTCTAATTCTGATATAAGAGTATGGAGAACTTTTGAATGCTCTGTGGTCCCTCCTCTGTCTTTTGCTCTGGATTATTTTTTCAGCTGGCAGAAAGATTTGACCTCCTTTATCAATTTAGGATTATTGTGAAATATTTGCAGACATTAAAGGGGATTAATTAAAAATTAACACCTCTATTAACGGAAAAAGTGCTGTAATATCACAGCCCATGCCCAGTAAGCATTATGTTGCCAGTTGGCTCTTCAAATATATCCATTAATTAACTAATAGGTGTCTGCACAATTAGAAAACAGAATAATTTTACATGCACTAACAATGATGACATATACATCAAAGTAAAAGTGACCCAATTTTAGTGGATTAATATAGGCAGAAAACATCATAGAAAAAAAGTGAAAAGTAGAAACGGTTATGAGCTGGTATTCAACAAATCTTATATTAAAATGAATTATATGAACAAATAATGAACAAAGCTCCTTATTCTTGATCTGGAGTTTGGGAATTTTATTTTGAAGCTCAGGAGGCGGAAGTAGTTTGGATTGCTGCGGTTCCGCTGAGCGTCAGTCAGCTAGTAACATGTTTGCTAAGTGAGTAAGTCATGGTCAGAGAGCCTTTTTAATAACATTTCTCTCACTGTTGGAGTGAATTTCCTTCTTAAAATGAGAAATCAGCGTAGCAACAATCCCACCTGAGCCTTTAAAGCAGAGTTTCATAAATGTTTTTATGATTTAGTGTAGGTTATTTTGACGTGGAACATCAGCTCAGCCAGTAGACACGGTAGGTAGGAAGGTATTTTGATTCTACTTTTATTACAAACCAGCTGGACTGTAATACAACAGGTCAAAATGTTTAGAAACATTGTTTTCCTTCTATAAAGTAAGATAACTGTTAACTGATAATTTTTTTTATTTAAAAAAAACTAGAGTTGTCG